GTGAGCAGCTTCTCAGAATCAACTTTTTTGAATTAAAATAAATTGTTAGAATCAGAAACTATTTTAAATAAGTTTAACCAAACAATTCAAAATAAATTTTCAAAAATTAAAAATTATAAGTTGGTTAAAAAAAACTTAAACAAACACCCCCATTGGTAGGTGTAGACATTGCTGACACAAATATTAGTTTGTGTAAATGAACTCACAAGTGCCAATTCATTTATAAACAATCCTCACACGTGTCCAATTCACTCGCAAGTTTGTTACACAAATTTGTCCTCATCTAACATGCACAAAAATTCAAAACCCTTAAATATGGCAAAAGGCCATTAAATTTTGTCTCAAATATTTATCTTCTTTTCTTTTAATACATTTTTAATTATCCAATCGTGTCTCACGATATAAATATTTTAAAATTTTTACATGATATAATAATTAAAAATAAATTAAAATTTGAAAACAAAAAAAAATACTTGATTTATAGAGTTTATTTTTTTATTTTTTTGAGTAAATAATACTCACGTATGCCAATTCATGTGTAAACAATGCTCACACGTGCCAATTCAACTTTATGTAAGTAATTTTCTACATATCAAATGTTTCTATCCTTCTGTTTTATGCATCTCAATCACTAAATCATATTTTAAAACATAAAAGTACTTCATAATATTAGAGATATTAAATATTTTATCAAATAAATTATTAAACATTCACATGAGTGTCAGTTCTCCATGTGAGTGTTGGTAGATTTTTTGATAATAATAATAATTATTATTATTATTATTATTATTTATTTATTTTGTATCTCTAACCTTGCTCAAAAGTACTTGCATAAATTCATTTAATGAGAAAGTTACTTCACTTCTCAAATCAATGTTGTAGATATATGATCTATAATAATTAATAGATCAAAACATAAAATTTAGAAATTTAGAAATAAAAAATACTTGAGTAAAACAAAGAGCAATTATGGATGATATATCTACAACGTTGATTCGAGAAGTTAAGCTATTTTTTTTTTTTTTTTGAACTGATAAAACTACTTTCTCATTGAATGAATTTATGCAAGTACTTTTATATCTTTCACATAGTCAAAAGAAAATCTAATGTGTATATTGAATGAATTAATTAAGTACCGTTCTTTTTTTCTTTTCTTTTTTATTATGAATCAATGTTAAGAATATCGAGATTAAATATAAAATGAGAAATAAATGTTTCATAAAGAGTGAATTTTACATATGGGTGTCATATCATGTAAAACACAGTCTTTATGAGACATTTATATCTCATTCTGTATTTGATTCTCTGTACACTTAGACTTATGATTTATTATGCTAATAAAACAGTACGAGAGAAAAGATTGCATATAATGACTGCAGAAAAGCATCCAGCTATCCACTGAGCAAATGTTACCGAGTATGCAATCTACCTAAAAAGACAAGAGCCTTAGGTTTCGAGTGGCCCAATCCTAGTAGGACTTTTATTCCTCCATGCAGATTCCTCCTAGGATTCATACTCCTAAAGGATAATGCTTATCCTTTTACACCCCCCACTGCTTAAACCAAGTGGGATGGTTTTTACCACGGCCGAACTACCATTTGACCGAAGTACCTACGGCTATGCACAGCCGCAGAATAAGCCGTACTATCATTGGTTCGGTTCTGTCTCTCATTACACCTTATCTCGGTTCTCCCTAGTATGAACCATGGTGTGTTGGGACCGAGCTACCGAGTAGCGGGGTCCAAACCGATCTATCCAGAACGCGTTATGACCGGACTAGCTCGTAGATCGGACTAACTCCAAGTTGTCCAGACCGAAGTAGCTTTACAATTCCTGAGCCGAAGTAACTTCATCTCTTTTGGCCGGAGTAACTTTATTTCTCTTGGGCCGGAGTAACTTCTCGGCCCTTTTTACCCAGTCCGTCATACTTTGGGCCATAAAGTCCATCTCATAGTTCGGCCCAATTTTCACCAAAAATTACCTTCTTACTAACCTTGCTCAAAAGTACTTGCATAAATTCATTTAATGAGAAAGTTGCTTTACTTCTCAAATCAATGTTGTAGATATATGATCTATAATAATTAATAGATTAAAACATAAAATTTAGAAATTTAGAAATAAAAAATACTCGAGTAAAACAAAGAGCAATTATGGATGATATATCTACAACGTTGATTCGAGAAGTTAAGCTACTTTTTTTTTTTTTTTGAACTGATAAAGCTACTTTCTCATTGAATGAATTTATGCAAGTACTTTTATATCTTTCACATAGTCAAAAGAAAATCTAATGTGTATATTGAACGAATTAATTAAGTACCGCTCTTTTTTTCTTTTCTTTTTTATTATGAGCCAATGTTAAGAATATAGAGATTAAATATAAAATGAGAAATAAATGTCTCATAAATAGTGAATTTTACATATGAGTGTCATATCATGTAAAGCACACTTTTTATGAGACATCTATATCTCATTCTGTATTTGATTCTCTGTACACTTAGACTTATGGTTTATTATGCTAATAAAACAGTACGAGAGAAAAGATTGCATATAATGACTGCAGAAAAGCATCCAGCTATCCACTGAGCAAATGTTACCGAGTATGCAATCTACCTAAAAAGACAAGAGCCTACTTAATTCTGTTTCAATTTTTGTGTTTTGGAAAATAGAATGAAAATTTCGAAAATATCAATTGGTTTCATATTGTTTTTCTTTTCGTTATAAAATAATTTTTTTAAATTTGAAATAATTTTTTGATACTTTTTGAAAGGTGGGATTTTTTAAATAAAAAGCAGAAACTCTTGAAAATAACTTTTGGAAAAAGTTCGCAAAATGAATCTTCTTCTTTTTCCGATTTCTTTTCTTCCTTTCTTTTCCTATAAATTTCTATGTAAATCTAAAATTCTAACGTAACTATCATAGATGCACATAATTTAGTTCAAATAAACAAGTTTTAATCCCCAATGATCACTCGAAGTCAGCTTCCTAGATTCATCAATCAATGTAAGCCATAAAATTCCATTAGATCATTAGATATCTAAAATGGATTTAATAAAATTTTATATCTCAAATAATGATTTGATTGATTATTAGATATTCCATTCACAAATTTTTTAATTTCACTGTCATAATCCACTCACAATCATTAAATTATATAAAAATTTTGTGGCATATAAATATCAAATGCTTATGCCCTAACATATAACTTGAAAGATGATAAAATTAAAAAATAAATAGTACATAACAATACATTTCTTGATTTTTATTTTTTATTTTTGGAAATAATGAAGACTGGAAAAGGAATCGAGATGTACCTTCTATTGCTTCAAATCTTAGGAGAACATTTGCTTTCCTGTTGGGTTTTTGAGGTCGATTTGGATGAGATCGAAGTTCAGACGAGTAGATTTTGTGAAGGCTCAAAAATTGGCGTGATAAAATTTGTAATTAGTAGGTTACTATGCAATGAATTTATAACTAAGAGAATGAGAGGTTGAGAAATCTATAGTCGTACATTTGTATCGAAATTAGGGTATCAACGTGTCAGACTAGAATTTAATGACTCGAGTTTAACTTGATTAAATCCTATTATGGAATTGATGAGCTTTTATGTGAATAGAATAGAGGCTACATGAAAAATCAAAATTATTTGAAATGCGTGTAAATTAGTTTGAACACTCAATTATATGAAGAAGAAAAAAAATCTAAAATTATTCGAACTCAAATGATGATATGCAATAGAATGATCGATCAAGAATGTTTGTCAAGGAAATGAGAACTATCTCTTTGAAGTTTTTTTTTTCCTTAAAAAAAAAAAAATATATATATATATATATAGAGAGAGAGAGAGAGAGAGAGAGATAAAAGAAGCTGAAGATATTAGATTATCTTTGGACTTTTATGAGTACTTCCTAATAAGCATGTGTCTTAGTTAGCAGTGGAGTTAGAAATTCAAAGTAGAGAGGACATATATTAATCATAACATTAATTTTTTTTCTCTTTATAACAAGTAATAACAAAATATTATTAAACTTATACACTTTTTGATTTATGTTTTGTCAATCAATAAGATATAATATCACAATTATTATGAGATTTATATTAACGTGACTTATAAATTCATAATCAACAACTAAATTCTATTAACCCAACAATAAGGACAAACAAACAACTAAATTTATTATTAATAAGTTTAACAATACCAACTCAACTAATAAAAAGAAATAACCAACTAAACAAATTTCATAACAGAAAATAAATTATTAATTGATTCAATTCTAATTTTGACTTGTTTAGCTAAGAGTCTACAAAAATGAGGAAGATAGTATAATAGAACATTTTAAAAATATAATACATTTTAATTTCAAGAGAACCTCGACTTGCCACTAGTTGATAAATTCACTCAGTGCAACTACAGATCAGTTTCATTTTTAATTTATTGAATCAAAGGTATAAATTCACTTTGTGCAATTAAAGACCAATTCATTTTTTTCTTTTTGTCTTTTTTCTTTTTTTGTGTTGTTGGTTGCATTGAAGGTCGTACCCGAGGAACCCTTGCACACTTATATTGTGTTTGATTATGAGATTTGAAAAGGAAAAAAGAAAAAAATGTATGAAACTAAGTAAAATATAAGTATATTTTATTCATATTTCACTTAACTTTCACATTTTCTTTTTCAAATCTCCCAACCAAACACAGCATTAGTGATGTTCAATGATTCTGACTAATTAAGCTAGTCTTAATTAATTTTCATTTTACATAATTTTCATGTTTAACTTAATATTACGTTACCGATTTGCTGCAGACTTTTTTCAACACACCCTCTCTTAGTTTTTAAGTTAAAAACTCAACCCCTTTTGATCTGAAGATTGCTCAACAAATAATAATAATAATCATCATCACCATCAATTCAGCACCCTCACAAACCACCACCAACTGAAGGGGGGAAAAAAAAAGAAAAATCAGTTCTTTGGGAGCAGAAAAGGCATCCACTAAATCTTCAAAAGATAGAAAGGAGAGGCATTTTTCTTTCATTTTCCTTTGTAGAACTGTAAGGTGATTGATTACACATGAATCTTATACATGATCTATAAATAAAAAGATATAGGGTTTGTCAATAAGACAAAAAGAAGAAGAGGACTTTAGTAGCCCGATAAGCAAAAGTTAAATAACCTGAATAGGTGGTACAACAAATGTTAGAAATGTGACGGAGCTCAAATCAGTAAATTAGTGAGGAAGAACATCCCCATTAAAATCAAATAGAGCCTTTACCGACGACGCGAATAAATTTAGCTTTTCATATGATCTGCATCTTGGCTTTGGCATCGTTCAAGTATTATATTACAATTGTTCAATGTGCGTGCGTCAAGCACACCGTGATTCCACAGTTTGATCATAAATAATCTCCAACACCTGCCGAGCCCACAAGTATACAAACAACTCAGAAGCACATTCACATTAGCATAAGAAATATAGCTTATACTCGGATGAACCTAAACTAGTAAGAGATAGATCCTGTATAAATGCACAAAGTACACTTTTTTGGATGATATTTTAAGTTGCACTATTATTTAATCCTCCATTTCTGTGCAAGAAATGTTATTTTCACAACTTTTCCATCAGATTGTATAGCAACAAGAAACCTAAAATTGTTAGCCACTTGCAGAACTTTAAAAAATTGGAAGAGACAAAGAACCCACATCCTTTTATAATATTACCCCAAGAACAGTTAAAAGCCAGCTGACCCAACTCTAAACCTTTCATAGATCTGATAGTTAATGTTGAATATGAGGGAGTCCTTGGAATAAGTTTTAGCTGGTGTGGGTGATAGAGTTTATGTACGCTGATGGAAGGCCCTTTAGAAAGTGTAGGCATCGTTGACATAGTGTTAGGCCGCTAGAGGTAAGGGCGGGCATCGTGTCATATCGTATCGTGTTCGAGTCGTGTCATATTGGGTTCGCATGTCAAAAGTATGAACATGAACACGAACACGAACACGAACATGACCTGTTAGTTCAAAAAAAAAAAAAAAAACAAAAAGAATACTACCTGTTTAATAAATGTGTCATATATGCAAACACTAACACAATATGTTAATAATCATGTCAACCCGTGGGTGACACGATTGACACGATTAATTTTTAAACCTATTTACCAGGACACGACACGACATAACACGATTGACCCAACACGAAAAACCCACTTATCCAATTAAATTTTTGCTCAAAATTTTACTTCCACAATCACCATGAAAATTAAATGAATGGTTGAGATAGAATTTGATCAATTTATATTTATAATAATAAAATGTGTATATGTAGTTCGCAGGTCATGGGTCTTAAAGAGGTCATTTTCGAGTCGCCGGTCATGTTCATGTTAACGGGCTACACGCTAAAATAAATGGATTAGACATGTCATTTTCGGGTTTCGCGAGTTCAACCCGAACATGACCTGGTTATTATACGGATTCACGGGTCGTGTCATATACATGTTCGTGTCAGAAAACGATCAACCCTAACCAACTAACTTTGTATACGGTTCAAGTCATGTTATCATGTCGTGCCGGGAATTCCTACCCTTAGCCAGAGGTGGGCTGGCAAAGAGCCGAAGCAGGGGAGAGAGAGAAAGAGAGAGAGAGAGAGAGAGAGAGAGAGCAACATCAAGACAAGAGCATGACAGGACCATAAATGTAGGGCAACCTCTTATGAAAGTATAGAAGCTCGTTTGGGAAGTTAGCTATTTTATTTGACTTTTTGGCTATTTTAACCGGGCTAAAAAAGTTGTGTTTGAGAAGATAGTTGACTTTTTTTTGTAGTTGATTTGATAGTTGTGAGAGAAAAAGTGAAATGAACGGGCTACACACTAAAATAAATGGATTAGACATGTCATTTTCGGGTTTCGCGAGTTCAACCCGAACATGACCTGTTTATTATACGGATTCACGGGTCGTGTCATATACATGTTCGTGTCAGAAAATGATCAACCCTAACCAACTAACTTTGTATACGGTTCAAGTCATGTTATCATGTCGTGTCGGGAATTCCTACCCTTAGCCAGAGGTGGGCTGGCAAAGAGCCGAAGCAGGGGAGAGAGAGAAAGAGAGAGAGAGAGAGAGAGAGAGAGAGCAACATCAAGACAAGAGCATGACAGGACCATAAATGTAGGGCAACCTCTTATGAAAGTATAGAAGCTCGTTTGGGAAGTTAGCTATTTTATTTGACTTTTTGGCTATTTTAACCGGGCTAAAAAAGTTGTGTTTGAGAAGATAGTTGACTTTTTTTTGTAGTTGATTTGATAGTTGTGAGAGAAAAAGTGAAATGACTAGTTTGGATGTGACATTTATCTTATTAGCTATTTTAGCTTATTTTGTCTTTATTGGCTATTTTAATCCAAAACCTTCTTCCCAAACAGGGCCATACCTTATTTACAGAAAGTTACTAGCTTCACAAAATAACACCTTCAGATAGATTTTATGTGGATTCATCCAGCAAATATACATGTAATGAAATGCACATAGATGAAGTGTATTCTGATAACCAGCAGTCACATGTAGCAGTAATATTTGCAAGTCCTACACAGCATGTTTAGAGCCTAGTCATGAGCTAATAGGTAATAACTGCACCACACTATACATACTAGAATATCTTTAACAAGCATCTGCATACAAAGGTAGACAGATCTAAGCACAAGTGAGAGAAAGACAAAATTATTTTAACTGAGGGGTTGAATTGAAGAACGCATTGCCACAACATAAAAATGAGATAAGGAGATACCAAAGAAGTGCTGGTGCCTGGATAAGGTCTTGACCATGCAATTTTGAAAATGCCTCACATGCCCAGGCAATATGACCATCTGCGAGCACCCTGCCATAGTGACAAACAAAATAGATGACCATGTAAGCTTAAAAACTCACAATAACAAACCACTCTGGTAAATTATTGGAGATATTTTGAAAAATCCCAAAAACAATTAAGCAGAAGCCTACAAGATAAGAGCCTATTAATTTTTCCTGAGGTTGAAGAACGTATGAGGTGGTTGGATGACTTCAGACAGCAGACACCAACACATGCCATGCGGTTAAAAGCATGGGCAATGTTATCAGATCAGCACAAAGACACTCACAAGGGATGCAATAAAAGGGCATTCCAAGAGGAACTGGAGAATGAAGATTACCGCTGCTTCCTGACAAATGAGTTCCAGAGATGCATCATTTGCTTCTCATCTTTGGTTACATCCACAAAATCATCAAGCATCTGCTACATATCAGAGCGCACAAATGATAATATAAAATACAGAATACGATTAAGAACACATCATCTTGTTGTATATGCAATACAAAGAACTATTGGGTCCAAGATGCTTCATCCAAAATTGATATTAAGTGCACATCCAAAGGTGCATGCATGCAAACAAACAAATAGATAAAAAAAAAACTAAAGTGTTAAATAAAGGTCATATAATGACCAAACATACCCTTCTATCTTCAAAATCTGCAACATCATCATCAACTTCATCCTCGCTGTCCCGGTCCGACAAAACTTGCTCCAATTCCATCGGCTACAATCACAAAGAAGTTTCAGTTCGAAGACATTTAAGCATAGATTCCAATAACTATGAATCTTAGGCCAAAAAGACGGATTTATAAAATCATGATGTTGCATTTTCAGATATGGAACCTAAAACACGTGCAACATAACAACTCAAACTGAATTAGTACAGCAATATCAGAGTCTAGTTTTTCAAACACGGGCATTAATGGTGGAAAGGCCAGGGAAGAGTGGACTAAACAACAACTGTCACAACATTGTCTTCTACAACGGTCCGACATGACCCCATAAACTGTCTTCTACAACGGTCCGACATGACCCCATAAACTTTCTACATCGGTTTGACACCCCCATACAGTGTCCTCTACAACGTTATGACACCACCATACAGTGTCCTCTACAACGTTATGACACCACCATCCAGTGTCTTCACCAACTGTCTGACACGACCATACAGTGTCTCCTATCCTTTTTTTATTTTTATGTATTTTATTATTTTGTTCCTCTCTTCAAACTCAAGTTGGTTAGTTTCTATCCTCCTTGAGTTTGCGGGGGGCTGTTAGAATTTACCATTCACACTCACCTACTACACTCCACTACTCACACTCACCTACTACACTCCACTACTCTTCACCTACTACCCAAACCCTCTCCTATATAATGCCACTCTGATTTGTAATACAAAATATCAATCATTGTAATAAATCAATCAATATATCAATCAATAATACATCCAATTTTACAGGTGGGCTGGCAAAGAGCCGAAGCAGGGGAGAGAGAGAAAGAGAGAGAGAGAGAGAGAGAGAGAGCAACATCAAGACCTCTGTTATCAGAATCTTACGATTCGCGATTCGATTCGCGATTCGATACGCAATTTTTGCAAAATCGATACGAATCTATGAGTGAATCCATTTTGAAAGTGAATTTCTAGTGAATCACACGATTCATAATCGATTCACGATTTGATTCACTTTTTACGATTCATGCAATTTTTGAAATTATTGTTTTCGACTCATTTTTTCCATCTTTTTAGTGAAAATGACATAATACAACTTCTAATAATATTTAATACCAAAATAACCAACATGTATATATGATTTGCTGTTATTTTAGTGATCATGGAGTTTTTTATAGGATTCAATCAGATTCAGTCAGACCTAACATATTTTTAACTTTTCTTCTCATTTTTTTCCCCTTCAAAAAATTGTAATATATCTTCTAAAGATATTTAAGATTAAAGTTACACTGAATTATCTATTACTATTTTATTAAATTGAATATTACATGTGTGAGGTCAGTTATACTTTTTAAAATGTTTTAGGCTTTAAAATAAAATATCCTAAATAATTCTTTCTTATTATTTGTTCACCTTACTTAGAAAAGTATATATATTTATTGTCCAAATATCAATATCGTTGTAAACTATTGTTACTTTAGAAATTAATAATTTGTCTATTTGGTTATTGTTTTTATTAAGAATGGTTGATAAAAAATATCTAAAAAAAAAAAAAAAAAAAAGGTAAGATAGTGATTTTACATAGGAACTTTTGTTAACTTCTTACCTATTAAATTACGCGATTATCATTCAAAATAACATTTTTGTTGATTTAAGTATAAATATTTTATATTCATAAGATATATTTAACATCTAAATGTGTAGATATATGTTTTTAAGTAATTTAGAAAAAGTGACCGAATCTTTACGATTCACGATTCGATTCGATTCGATTCGCGATTCGGTACGAGGCCATTTCGATTCACGATACGAATCCCGATTTGACAACTATGATCAAGACAAGAGCATGACAAGACCATAAATGTGGGGCAACCTCTTATGAAAGTATAGAAGCTCGTTTGGGAAGTTAGCTATTTTAGTTGACTTTTTGGCTATTTTAACCGGGCTAAAAAAGTTGTGTTTGAGAAGATAGTTGACTTTTTTTTGTAGTTGATTTGATAATTGTGAGAGAAAAAATGAAATGACAAGTTTGGATGTGACATTTGTCTTATTAGTTATTTTAGCTTATTTTGTCTTTATTGGCTATTTTAATCCAAAACCTTCTTCCCAAACAGGGCCATACCTTATTTACAGAAAGTTACTAGCTTCACAAAATAGCACCTTCAGATAGATTTCATGTGGATTCATCCAGCAAATATACATGTAATGAAATGCACATAGATGAAGTGTATTCTGATAACCAGCAGTCACATGTAGCAGTAATATTTGCAAGTCCTACACAGCATGTTTAGAGCCTAGTCATGAGCTAATAGGTAATTACTGCACCACACTATACATACTAGAATATCTTTAACAAGCATCTGCATACAAAGGTAGACAGATCTAAGCACAAGTGAGAGAAAGACAAAATTATTTTAACTGAGGGGTTGAATTGAAGAACGCATTGCCACAACATAAAAATGAGATAAGGAGATACCAAAGAAGTGCTGGTGCCTGGATAAGGTCTTGACCATGCAATTTTGAAAATGCCTCACATGCCCAGGCAATATGACCATCTGCGAGCACCCTGCCATAGTGACAAACAAAATAGATGACCATGTAAGCTTAAAAACTCACAATAACAAACCACTCTGGTAAATTATTGGAGATATTTTGAAAAATCCCAAAAACAATTAAGCAGAAGCCTACAAGATAAGAGCCTATTAATTTTTCCTGAGGTTGAAGAACGTATGAGGTGGTTGGATGACTTCAGACAGCAGACACCAACACATGCCATGCGGTTAAAAGCATGGGCAATGTTATCAGATCAGCACAAAGACACTCACAAGGGATGCAATAAAAGGGCATTCCAAGAGGAACTGGAGAATGAAGATTACCGCTGCTTCCTGACAAATGAGTTCCAGAGATGCATCATTTGCTTCTCATCTTTGGTTACATCCACAAAATCATCAAGCATCTGCTACATATCAGAGCGCACAAATGATAATATAAAATACAGAATACGATTAAGAACACATCATCTTGTTGTATATGCAATACAAAGAACTATTGGGTCCAAGATGCTTCATCCAAAATTGATATTAAGTGCACATCCAAAGGTGCATGCATGCAAACAAACAAATAGATAAAAAAAAACTGAAGTGTTAAATAAAGGTCATATAATGACCAAACATACCCTTCTATCTTCAAAATCTGCAACATCATCATCAACTTCATCCTCGCTGTCCCGGTCCGACAAAACTTGCTCCAATTCCATCGGCTACAATCACAAAGAAGTTTCAGTTCGAAGACATTTAAGCATAGATTCCAATAACGGTATGAATCTTAGGCCAAAAAGACGGATTTATAAAATCATGATGTTGCATTTTCAGATATGGAACCTAAAACACGTGCAACATAACCACTCAAACTGAATTAGTACAGCAATATCAGAGTCTAGTTTTTCAAACACGGGCATTAATGGTGGAAAGGCCAGGGAAGAGTGGACTAAGAGAAGCTTTAGAGGGAATAGGGGTGAACCCTTGTGCACCAAAGCTGAAAAATCCCTGTACCCTTTCCCCTAAAGTGGTAAAGCGGAAGGCAATGCAACATATGGAACTGCTCCGGCCATATGACGACCCCCCAATCCACTTCCATCTCATGAATTGGCTTTTCTCTATTACTTTGGTACATTGAATCTCAGAGACATTCTTATCATCTGGTAAAAACGCCTAGCAGCAAACTTGTATGAAGGGGCCCCCCTTTCAGTGCCATTTCGTTTGGTCCACTGGGTACCACTTCAAAGGAATTCATTCCAAAGACGCTTTTAATCACTCCACTGGAAAGATCTGAAGACCTCTCTTTCCTCTGAACTTCGATATTATATTATTCACTCCCCAGGACAGCAATCCAGAGTCGCCGTAGTCCACATATACACTTCCGATGCTTCCATTAGAACTCATGATTTTTTGGATTTTCCTTTTCTATGGATTCCACTTGATTCATAAAATTCTTTCCCATTCCATCATAAAGAAGTCAAAATATTTCATATGATACTCAAGGCACTTTACAAGGTCCCTTCAAACATAGTCCACAGACAATTTGATAAACAATGTTATTGTAGTAGTAGAAGTTAGTTTTGAAAAGATAAATCTTTTCACAACTTAGATTTTTTTTTTTTCCACAGCATGTTACATTTAGAGTTCTAGTCCAGCAAACAACACCTGCCACCCAATTATACAAAAAGTACAAATGTACACTTCAAGCCATAGAATGGAACCTCTGTACCATCAAAAGATCAATGATTTTGCTCACCCCAGATGATACAAGGGAATCAAAAGCCATAACTTCTTCCTTTTCCCCACACTATCCCCACACCTACAAAGGAGCTCAACAACTATTCCACAAGGGAACAACTACTCCAACTCAACCAAGACAAAACCAAAGTCTAGAACTCTCTTGCCACTTTGCAATGGATAAGAAGATGATTAGCCAATTCACCATCCTATTTACATATACAACACCAATTCAAAATCACGTGTTTTTCTAAATCACTATATTAATGGTGAAGATTTGCCATGAGCTACACAGAAAACGAGCAAGGCCACCCTCAGAGGCCAAGGAACCCAAATATCTTGCCAAGGAAAGAGGATCCGTCATGACCAACAAATGCCTCGTCAAAAGATTTTACCTAAAAGCACCCCAATCTTGATAACCTCCATCTCATAAAACCCTTCCATGTCCCAATGCTTGATAATCCATACTACGTCTCAAGTAGCCCCACTCTTGACCAATTCTTGGATTTTATAGAACCTTTTGATACACAAGGCGTATAAGTTTTTTCTAGCTTTCTCTTCATCTATTTCATAAATAGGTAGCAGTCCCTTGATGGCATCTTCTATTGGAATGTATCCCACATCGCCTGGAGTTTCCATATCTGTGCTAATTATAAGGTTTTAGTTTCCCTCTTCTTAATACTTGGGTTTTAAGGAGAAGTGTGAGCTGGCTTTTTGCAATTTGGGATCAGAGCTTAGTTGGGCCTGTGATTGGTATGCTGTTTGTTTGACTTCTATATGTTGTGGTGCAAGAAGGTGTGTTGGAATGTGTCCCACATCGGTTGGAGTTACCTCATCTGTACTGGTTATAAGACTCCAGTTTCTCTCTCTTTAATATCTGGATTTTAAGGAGAAGTGTGGGTTGGACTTTTCAATTTAGTATCAAAGCTTGGTTGGGCCTGTAACTGGTGTGCCGTTTGTTCGGCTAGTGTATGTTGTGGTCCAGGAGAGTGTGTTGGAATGTGTCCCACATCACCTGGAGTTGACCCATCTGTACTAATTATAAGGTTTCAGTTAATACCTGAGTTCTAAAAAAAGTGTGGGCTGAGCTTTTCAATTTCTTCGACTGAAATTATTGTTTATCCAAAAAATAAAAAATTCTAATCCACCCAAGCAGATGAAGATTCCCCATAGAAATGTTGTGTTTTTTAAAGCAAATTCATTCTAAAAAAAAGAGCAAGGAAAGAAAAGCAAAAACACTTTCCATAGTAAGTTTAAAATTGAATTATGAATCTTGAATGACTTAAAAACATAGTTGTACTTAACTAACTCAAGCAAGTTTCATTCACCACGTTACATAGCCAAAATACCACCATACCATAAAATGAGAATATATCCACCATAAAATGAAATGAGCATTTGCGCAAACAGGAATACTTTCAGGTCCCAGGAAAGAAATGAGTGTGTATGTGTGTGTGCGCCTGTGTTCAGTTTAGGGAGTCTTAAGTCAATTCATTAATTTTGGAAATTTAAGAACATTAATGCCGTTAACACAACATAATGAAAATTTCAACATTAGTTCTTTCTTTATATTTTTTTCCTCCTATTTTCCACCTTTCTCCTGTCTTTCATTCTTTGATTTTTTTTCCTGCTCACATGTTGATCTTTTCGTGGGAAACAACATTAAGGACTTAAACCCCACAATCAATTTTTTTGAGGGAACGGTGTATTGGAAATAGCATGAGAAAACAAGATCAAAATCTTCTGAAAAAGTAATTGTAATACCTGGGAATGGTTTATCATGTATATTACAGAAGAAACTAGTAGAACAAAGAATACACAATCACCTAGAGATGTTAATGTTATTACAAACTTCATTTTTTTGAAACCCATTCAATTCAAATATAAATGAAAATATATCCTTCAATCTCCTTATAACATTACCTAAACAGCTACACCTCCAAAATATTATTGATTCCAATTTGCGGTCCAACCAACTTACACTTTTTGCCAGAAAACAATTAGTGGCTTATGTAGAATGAACCCATAAGCGCATGCAGAGATAATAAAGCACAAAAGGAAACTAAATCATAAATTAGCATTAAAATGACTAGTCACCTGCGCTCTATGTGAGTGAAAGAACTGTCGCTTCTGCAGGAGGAAACGACTGCAAGGAAAACCAAATACACCCATATCAAATCTAAACTCATGCAATCAAATACATCACCCTATCTAGAACTCATAATAGTAATGAAAGAAGGAAACAACATAAAATCAGCCAGTAAAAAGGAAACATGAAATATCTGCCCGCAAGCAGATTCAGAACTGATATATGAACCAATATGCAGAACAAAAATACAGTAGATCAACAACAAAACAATTTCACACTAAAATAAATTAAATCACTATTTTAATAACTAAATTAGTTTTTTTTTTTCCATTAATTATGTCATTAAGTACTAATTACACTAGCTATCCTTTCTAAAAATATATAGATGACACTCATGATAGCACATGTGCTCTCAACACTAAATCCAACACATCCAATTAATTTGCTAAAGACCACCACCTCAACCCTTACGCTCTATTTGGTTCATTGGAATGAGATGGAATGTAATGGAATGGTGATTCCTTAAACATTCTTACAAAATGATCATCCCATTAACATAGTGAAAGATGATTCCATTCGTAATGCATTTGCTATTATATTTTTAATCTAACCAAACATGAGAATGAATATTTTGATGGAATTCCATTCCGGTTCATTCCAATGAACCAAACACTACCTAGTCTTTGCAATTCCAGTTCATTCCAAAGAACCAAACACTACCTAGTCTTTGCAAAATCTATTACAAGTTCATGCCCCACATTATCAACTAGACATAGGCTTTAGAGTTTGGACAGAAGTAAAGTTCTGTTTATTAACAACAATTTAGTGAGAAAGTAAGGGTGTACCACAATACCGATTTAGGTTCGGCGTATGAAAGAAAGTTGAATGAAGGTGGCCCAAGCCTACACATATGACAACAAAACAAATTCAAGGTAGCAATCAGTTTATTGCCCAAAGATGACATTGCAAGTTTCTGCACAGCAGTTTGCATATCCTTTGAAAGCCTCCCAGTTTATTGCTGACCATTCAGGCAAGCTCACAGATGGATGACAAAAATCTTCTAATCTAGGTAATTCTAGGCCTGAAGTCCACAAATGCAGTCCAATACTAACTTGGGCTCATGGTGGCGTTGCTGGGGAATCTACTTTCATATCCTCAGACATGTGCCTGCCTCCAACTATTAAGGGGGGCTAATATGCAAGTGGCAAGCACTACATCAATTTATGCTTTGACTATGATTGACTGAGTTCAACTTTTTATGTACAGATTATGCATCCTTTCATTGCAAGAAGAGTACAAATTCTTCAAAATTACACACAAACATGCTAAAAAATAAGACTGAAAAACGTACTTTCTAGGGTCAGAACGTTCAACAGATAGCTTTCTTGTCTTTGCAAATTGTAGCATGGCAGGAGGTGCAAGGTTGCTTCCAGGTACAGATTGGACACATTCTGGATCTGCATATGAGTGAGCTGTTGCAGTAGAAACCCCAGTCGCATTAGGGCTGGATGTATCACGTTCCACACACTCAGCAAGGCCTAAAATAGCATCATACAAATCATACACACTAGAAATATGAGCTTATTATCCTTAAAGAAAGTACGATTCTGACAACAGGTTGATTGTTAAATAATCTTAAAATAAAACATGAGAAAATATGCTCATGTACATCACATTGATTATTTGTTTCCCCTCTTCTTTCTGACTAGGTCAAAAAGTAAAAGGTTTGCTCGTTTCCAACAAATATCAAAGTTGAAGAGAATTAGTCTACATTTCTCACTATCTTTTGAGCAATGTTACATGGCCTTGGGTGGTGTGTTGCGTTGGTGCAGGCATGCGTGTGTCGGATTCATCTAATTCTAATATCCAACAACACTAGGACATGGCATGTGTGTAAATGTCAGATTCATTTAATTCTCATATCCAAGAACACTAGGACAAGACCAGATTTATATTTCTTAAATACGTCTTTTATCTTTGGGATAAAATGGTGTTACAAACTAACATATGGTATTTTATGCATACAAGGGAGTCTCATAACTTGTTACAAGTAAACTTGGCCACTTAGGCATATTTAATGGATGCATATCTCATTCCTTTACTCAAGTTCCCAGTGTCCAATGCAATACTTCCCAAATTTAAAAGAGTCCATGTAACATAACTTTTGAGGATATGATATAAGCATCACAAGTATTTCTTACCAGATGGAAACCCCCTTTTTCTACCATGATTATGAAGTGCATCAAAATCAAGTTGAATGGATACACCTAAGAACTCTTGGCAAAGAAGAATGAAAGCCATGCATCACAACTACTCAGAGTGTCCACATTTACAGCAAATGAACAGCTTATTTGTCATTTCAGCCCCAAAGGCAAGTCCATGAAAAATTATTATTCACATAAGCCATACATAAGAATCCATACTCCAGTTTCCTAATACAACTTCAGAAGGCTTGCCAGTCAATAAAACTAAAGATATAACCAAAAGAAAAACTCATGTACCATCAGTTTTGTCCAGAAGCTCATTCAATGCTGCAGGAAAGTCAGAATCCAAGACGAGTGGATGCACATGCTTTGCATTTTGAACTAAGTTTTTTGGTTTTCTGCGTCTCAGTGGCTTTGAACTGTATACAAATTATGTTCATTCATTTAAGGTCATTGGCACTCAAACTAATAAAAGCAACACAAGCAACTTATCATTCTTATTTTTAAAAAAAAATAAATAAATCAATAGCAGAAGCAATTTATCAATACAATAGTTAAACAACAAAATTTTATATTTATAGATAACTTACCAAAAGAAAAATGTTTGTTGCTTAGGATTGACACCATCTGCAACAATCTGAGCAGAACATAATGGGAAAAAAAAATCAATAAACATAGTAAATTCCTTTCAAGCTCACATCATAATAAAACATTTGCCTGATTTTGGCCACAATGCACGTGTCAACAAATAAAGGTAAAGTAGTGGACATGCATTCAGTTAAGCTATAAAAAAAAAAAAAGATGAAAAAGCTTTTATCACCAAAGTCAGCAGCAAGATGACCATGTAGAGGAATTTAGACCAGCCACCTACATCTAAAATCCTTCGATAGTATATCTGGAAGCTAATGTACTGAAAAATTAATTGAAACTTCCCTAAGAGAGACTTCACCAGGAAGTACGGCGGATGATGCAACTGCAGATTTGTACCTTACTAACCTTTTCTCAACAAGAAAAGTATGCAACTCTGGCCAGAACATGCCCCCTTATATATAAAATATATGCACATCTATAGTTGTATGCACTGAAACATCTATGCAGATGTCAACAATTGATTAAATACTAAAACCAATCTCCAATAGATACTTTTCATTAAAGAAATAGCATCTGACCTCAGGTCTCCATATATCTGTTTTTACAGAAACGTTTACAGCCTGATAATCTTCAGTGACCTAGAGAATATCAATGCTGTCAATAGTTATGGTTTGAAAGAACTAAATGATTGAATGCTATCATAGATTACTGAAATTTACCAACCCAAAACTCAAAGTTGAATAGATCATGGGATGAGGGCAAGTGATATCGCAGACCCTGTACAGAAGTTGATATATTTGTTAGAATGAACCCATAAATCTGGATATTCTTTGTTCAGTTCAATCCAAACAGGGGGGAGTAAGAATAGAAATCAACATCTGTTTACCTTAAAGCTTGCACATTTTACCAAGCAGAATGGGCAGGAGAAATCTTCTGTCACTGCAAGTTAAGAGTACATATCAGATCCAAAACTCAAACTTCAAGCAATCATTCCATGCAATGTAAGCTCCAACTACAGTACAGTTGCCAAAGTATCAGGCAAAAAAATCAACCATAATAGACGCACAAGGTTTTTAGGGATAAGCAGCTGAAGTAAGCACTGCCATTGGGCAGAGAGAGATCCATGATCTAACAAGCATAGACACTTCTAAAAAGGTTTCGCATGACAATCATTGGACAATCCCTGACAAATGTTGGACATGAGTCCAAACATATCATATTATTTTTCAGAACTGAACACCATTTGAATCCTTAGGAGACACGTGTACATTACTTAGGCACACATAAAACACATTGCAAGTATAAAGAAATTACTTGGAATCCAATTGATATATTTATTTGTTGCCATGTCCCTGCTGTGCTGTACCATTTTTTTGTTATTTAATTTGTCATGTCAGTGTGACTGTATCGTGTCGCACCTGTGACCTGTGTATGTATGTGCTTCTTTGACCTTGATCTTGTCACTAATTGTACACCAACAAGATGGTAGGCATACATGCAGGATTGAAAATGGTCCTAGAGAAACATGCATGTCAGTAGGTACGAAGCACCAGGGGAACCTTGATCAACTAACCAACTGGACACCAAACTAAAATGCATTTCAAAGGAAAAAAAAAAAAAAATGCATTATTTGGAGGTAATCATGTAAGCAACTATATAGCCATGCCACTTACCTCTGTGTCTTATCATATCGATTAAGACAAGTTCTACTGGAACAGGTACAAACCTTTCGTCTCCAACTTTTCAGGATTGTGGCACACCATGTTTTATGTCAGGCATACTGTTTTAGTGGACTAAGAAATTTGCCAATCCTAATTATATCAAACCAATTCCTGCTAAAAAGATCATGTTGTGTATGTTTCCAGTAAGGATGAATATCTATCTCGCTTAATATAAAATAAATTTGATTTGTGTAGCATCATTATCTGTTGATCAATGCAGCTCCAATGGCCAGAAATGAGATCTATAGTTAAGATGTTAATCCAAGATATCTAACCTAGTGGTGATCGATTTCTCAAGGAAGACAAGGAATCTGCAGGTAACTTAATGACTCTCGCTGATACATGCTGCTGGTGTTGGTACATTATGGATTGCAGATGAGGTTCTTTTACTTGTTTGTCTGACTCATCTTACTGCTACAATCCAAAAATCAAGTACTAGTAATTTAGACAGGAGCCATCAACAATTGATGATTACATTGTCTATACAGCCAGGGTCGGCATAAGTACATACTGATATGTAGAGTTTTGATGCTAGTTGGTCTGACTCATCATTTAAAGACTTGTTGATTTTGAATTAACATCATAGGAATAATTTCTGAGGTTATAGTCACTCTTTATATCCGCCACGGTGCACTTGTTTATTCCTGTACTGAAGATATAGCCTACTAGAATTGGTTGATCTTGATCAAATCTTTTTCTGGAACAAGGAAAAGAATGCAGGAAAAAGGAGCATAGGAGCCATCAACAATTGATGATTACATTGTCTATACAGCCAGGGTCGCATAAGTACATACTGATATGTAGAGTTTTGATGCTAGTTGGTTTGACTCATCATTTAAAGACTTGTTGATTTTGAATTAACATCATAGGAATAATTTCTGAGGTTATAGTCACTCTTTATATCCGCCACGGTGCACTTGTTTATTCCTGTACTGAAGATATAGCCTACTAGAATTGGTTGATCTTGATCAAATCTTTTTCTGGAACAAGGAAAAGAATGCAGGAAAAAGGAGCAAAAAAAGATCCTCCCAAACAATGACAAACAGAGGATTTCAAAAAGAACAATGAAAATAAACAAAAATGACAACAAAGACTATCAAAGAACATGCCCCAGAAGCAGGCTGCTGATGCCAAATATACTCCTTTATTACAATAGGTCCCAAGAAGCACAAACCAGAAAATAAGAAAATATCCCAAGGCCATTACATGTTCCAGTAATGTGAGTGTTAAGGGTTTCAACAAAGGTAATCACCTATGAAGCATGGATACTTCTACAAGGATTCGTATACATATCGGATACCGATACGTCTCAGATACTTGTAGATACATATCTGATACTTAATAATTGTTTCTTTGATTTTGAGAAGGATCAGATACTTTTTGGATACTCTATATCATGTATCTGAACTATTATGAAAATAAGACTCTAAAAATTCTTGCATAACATTAAACTATAATTGTTAGGATAAATACATGAATAACTTCTCGACACTTCACATACTTCTTAGAGAAGAAGAAAATAGATAAATTAAAGTAACACCCAACTTTTTCAGAATTTATCAAATCAATATATCCTTATCCTAAGAAGCACGGACACTTCAAAGAAGGTGACGTATCCGTGTCGTGTCCGTGTCGGACACCGACGCTCTTTGGACACTCTTAGGACACGTGTCCGATACTCTTCAAAACATGTCCTATTTTTTAAATATTTTTAAAGACCCGGACACTCTTCGGACACTTGGAGGACACACGTGTCTATTGATTATACATATGTGAAACTAATTATAAGTTTGAACAAAACAACTTAAGATATAATAAAACAAAAACCATATAAATTTATAGGAATTAGTGCTATATTGCATTTTTTATTATCTTTGAATGATATATTCATATATATAACATATAATAAATATATAAAATTATATATTTCATGCGTGTCCTCCACGTGTCGTGTCCTGCATTTTTTTAAAATTAACGTGTCAGCGTGTCGTTGTCGTATTCGTGTCATGTCACTGTGTCCGTGTCCATGCTTCTTAGCTCTATATCATGTATCCGAACTATTATGAAAATAAGACTGTAAAAATTCTTGCGTAACATTAAACTATAATTGTTAGGATAAATACATGAATAACTTCTCGACACTTCACATACTTCTTAGAGAAGAAGAAAATAGATAAATTAAAGTAATACCCAACTTTTTCAGAATTTATCAAATCAATATATCCTTATCCCATATCCATATCTATACTTTTTAGAAACAGTTAACACTTTCACATATAACGCATTTAATTATGAAAGGAAAAAGTACGAGAACAATAAAAAAAAGATTTAGACTTGATATTGAAATAAAATTTTCATTAAGACCTACTAAAAAAAGTAAGAGTGGTTGGTCATTAGCTCTTAAACTAATACCTAATTTGTAAAGAATGGTTTATCACCATGCTTTGAGCTTATGTATAATACAATACTAAAAATTATAAAAATATTTTTTTACAAACGTATCTTGGCTGTACTCGTATCCTATTTTTTTAAGGTTTTTTTCATAACACTGTTTCCACATCATATCCATATCCATGCTTCATAGGTAACACCCACCAGGTAAAAGATATAAGCATACTTTGTCAGCTAGGCACTTGTCTATGCCACAATTCTCTTATAGAGAACCAACCACAACAGTGTCATATAAAACAATTTGTTGCAAAGTTCATTTTACCAACTATGTCTATATAAAAACCAGCCACAAAGGTGTCAGATAGTGCACATTCTCATTTATCAACTATATCCATTACAACTTGAATAGATGCTTAGAAACAAAAAACATATAAAATAAATAAATAAATAAAGGGTAAATTACACTGACCTCCCCTAAGGTTTATGACAATTACAGAAACCTCTTAAAATGACACCCGCCTCCCTTACTAGATTTGCCGATAGACAGAGTTAACTAAAAGTGGTATTTAACATTTTTAACCCTCACATTTTTTTTTTTGGGGTCAAAATCCTTCTCTCAACACTCGTACCATGCACTTGACCACACTATAGCATACCCCTTTCCATACTTATAACCCTAGTCCAAAACCCACTAAAGCCGCACACAATCGCTTCAGATCAGAGGGGAAAGGAAGGGAGGTGGGGGTGTCGGACGGTGATTGGTGGGAGTTTGTCGTTGAGAGTGTAAAGAGAGGAATTCGGCAGCAGCACTGAGAGAAGGGAAAAGATGGTAGGAGTGGGGTTGGAGGCAGCACTGGAAGGAAGGAAAGAGATGGCAGGTATTTGGTTTGGGTTGAGTGTCACTGGGCTGAACCCGTCTCTATGCTGGGAGGGGGCTTCATCGATGGACATCTATCTAGGGTCTAGTTTGGTCATGGTTGTTTGCGCTTGATGAACCCAAACCCAATTTTTCTACAGAAAAAGAAAAACCATTGAGAGTCAATATTCATGGCAAAGTTTCCATCCACAGATCACCTCAATGGTGAGGTGTAAATAGATTTGTTTGATGTACCAATCATTGCTGAAACTATTAATTTCAGTTTCATCTTCGTAATCTGTGTCTAGATTCTTTATGTGATTTTATGTTGTGGATTCTTGCATAGATTAGTTGATGAATAAAAAATGAAACTGTTAAATATAATGATGATCAAAGGAGGGTATCAACTCACCGAAGTTTTATCCAAGATTATAATCATAATGATGATGGTGACAAGAATGGAGCTGCAAATGATGACCCAATATTTTCTGGGTTCGTTGATTTTTATTCAGTCTCCATAAAGAAAATGCAGTTGAGAGGGGCACTAGTGGTGGGAATAAAATTAGGGATTACTCTAAATTATTTAAGCTCCAGTTTCTATCAATTGAGAAGAGAAAAAAAAAGTTCGCCGAAAAAGGTTGATTTTAGTGGGGAGTATTTGCTCTTAGTTAAAGATGAAGTTTATAATCAAACAAAGAATGTTGATTAGTCTTTTACATGTAATTATAAAAGGAACAGGTGTCTGCACAAAGGAAACAAGGGCAAAATGGGAAATAAAACATGAAATACTTGCTGAGGTAAGCAAATAGCCTATTCACGATCAATCAACAGAAGGGAGAAAAGTGACATAAAAAAGTAAAACAGAAGGGAGGTTAGCGCAATTTACCCCCCCAAAAAAAATTGCATTTATCACCCAAAAAATAAATAAATAAACACAAAATACCTTCGGTCCTCTGCAACTTATTATTATAGTACCTGTAGTTGAAAATGACATTTCCAGTTCTCAACCTAAACAAATACAAGCAGCCAAAATTACTATTTCCATATGCAATGCTTATAAAGAAGACAACAAAAAGAAAAATGCAGTTTCAATAGCAAACAAATTACTTGTGAATTAAGAAAGTATGGAAAGAAACAGCAGCATACAAAACACAAATAAATTAAGAAAAATTTCTTTCCAATATAGAGAACATCATGTAACTGCCTTGAGTTCTATTTAAGAAAAGAAAAACAAAAAAAATTCTACTTTTGATGCATGCAAAACATATAAGGACCATACCCTTTCCAAAAAAGACTGATTAACCACTAAAAGAGACACTACAGATCCAATATGTAACTGTTTCTTTACAAATAGTTTGCAAAGTTGAAGTGTCCACCTAATATTAAGTTCAATATCAAGAACAGAATGGAAGTGTTCAGAAAACATAACGAAAGGTCAATATTAATTTTAACAATGTAAGTGCATCAAAAGATAAAACAATAATCACTAAGACAACTGCTAAGACATTTTCCTATAGAAGTATAGAGAATGAGAACACTCCAACACTTCTTTACCACAGAAGTAAGAACATGCAAATATTACATTAGATGGGACACTCCCAATCCTTGAGCCATTCCAATTATTCACTTGCAATAAATTTAATAATAATATTAATTAAAATATATTAAGTGATAGATAATAAAAAGAACTCACAGTCGAAAAGTTGGTTCTTGTCAGTGATTCATGGTCAAATAAAGAACTGTGTCAAGGGACAGATAACATCAAGTGACCACAATGAAAGTGCATCAAAAGATAAAACAATAATCACTAAGACAACTGCTAAGACATTTTCCTATAGAAGTATAGAGAATGAGAACACTCCAATACTTCTTTACCACAGAAGTAAGAACATGCAAATATTACATTAGATGGGACATTCCCAATCCTTGAGCCATTCCAATTATTCACTTGCAATAAATTTAATAATAATATTAATTAAAATATATTAAGTGATAGATAATAAAAAGAACTCACGGTCGAAAAGTTGGTTCTTGTCAGTGATTCATGGTCAAATAAAGAACTGTGTCAAGGGACAGATAACATCAAGTGACCCAATGTTCCAAAAGTTAGCTGGCTCAACTAATCCTAATGCTATAAAATATTCAAAAAGTTTATAGGAATTGTGCTCACGTACATACCAACACAAAGACAGCATATGGTTAAATATCATTTATCATACTACTTTGATACACTGTCTACTCTGTAGAACCCAATAGATACAAAAATTTATTTTTCTTTTTAAATGGCATACCCAGTGCACAAGGCACCTGCTCACAAGGGGTCAAGGAGAGGTAACAAATAATAACAAACAAGAACCATAATAATAATAATAATTGAATACATATGAACCATATTAATAGTAATAGCAAACAGTTGCCAATTAGAATGAGATTTGAATAACATATTGAAATAATAACACACAAATAGTTTCCAAACAGTGAGCAAAAAAATAAAACTAAATGTTGAAAACCAGAAGGAAGAATGAGTCAAATGCATACATAAATGCAGAAAGAAAAAGTGACCTACCGTATAATATGAGAAAATGAAGAAGTAGCCATGTCATTACAGGAGTATGAACTATATGGAGATTTTTCTTTTGCCCCAATCTCTTCTGCAGAAATGATGACTTCCACTTGCAGTGGCGTATTCTAAAGTAAATCATACAGTGTAGAAAAGACAATAGTAATCAACAATAGAACAATGATTATCCAAAAGAAAAAAATAAAAAAATTAATATCAAATTTCCCAGCAGAATCAAGCAAAGATTAGGCACAAAACAAACCACAGTTCCAGAACTATGGGGCATCTGAATGGCAATAGATTTGTCTTCATCCATACAACTTAACTGCAGACGGAAACACAAACAACAATAGGGCAAAAAACATTTAGGTCATTCATTCGACTGTAATTTCATATAGACAATAGATATAGTATTTTGCTGTAATTTTCATATAGACAACAGAAATTACGAAACAGCATTTATTTTTCTATTACATGTAAGCAGAACTATGCTAAGAACACAAAGCATGTCATAAAACCTTCTGAAAGAACAATGACAAAAAACGTACAAAGAAGGCATACTATTGTTAAGCATATTTGTATTTTGGTATTGTTATTTATTATTAAGGGGAGTTTAGTCTTTGTCATTTTTAGGGTTTGTTTAGCTTAGATATATATGTCTCACTTTGTAACCCTTTTTCTCTACACTTAATAATACAGTCTTTATTTTGTTCTAACAGTGTTTATCATGGTATCAAAGTAAGGGGTTAAGCTTCAACCTTACACTGCTGATTATTCATGCCTGACAGTTGTCCTCCAGCGAAGTTTTCTACGAACTTGTTTCTCTTCTTCGTAATTTCTTAAGTCGCTGAAAATCTTCACCGTGATTGCCCCCGAACTCGTAGGCACGTATTTGACTGCACCCATCAACTTCTCTTTTCCCCAATTGATTTGTGCCTCTATTTGCTTCACAACCACGACTGCTGGATTGCTTCTGGGTGTGTTCAAAGTAGCTTCTGGTTGCCGATATTGCCAATCAAGTGGTTCTGCTGCTTCGTTTGGTGATGTTTCTTCTTCTTCTTGACTGCTTTTGCTGTTTCGTCCCTCTTCAAGAGTTCGTTTGGTGGCTTCTCTGCCCTGTCTGTTTCGTTGCTGGTTCTGGAGCCTTCTCTGCCCTGTCTGGTAGTTTCGGGTTTGTTGGTTGTCTTATTCAGAGCCCCATCTCCTCTGGTTTTTGGCTGGAAAGGCCTTCTTTGCTTTCTTTCATCAAGCCTAGTGGTACTTCTAATTCTCTCCAAGCCATTGTTAATAGGTGATAATTACACATATTGGGCCTATGTTATGAAAATTTTCCTTCTTGGTAAAAATGCCTGGACCTATGTTATTGGTGATTCCTCCATGCCCTCTGATGTTAAACTTGGAAACTTTAATGCGCTCCTCTCTACATGGCAAGTCACTAATGCAAAGGTCATTACTTGGACCAACAACTCAGTGGATCAATCGATTGGTATTCATTTTAGAAAGTTTACTATAGCCAAAGAAATTTGGGATCATCTCTCTTGTCTCTATTTTCAATCCAATTTTGCAAAACGGCATCAGTTAGAACATGAGATTAGGGCTACTTCTCAAGGGGATAAGAGTATCCAAGAGTTTTATTCTATTATGACTGGGTTATGGGACTCATACAGAATATTGTACCTATCGTGAGGAGCAGCATTTGGTTCTGTTTCTTATGGCACTTAGAGCAGATTTGAGGGGTTGTGTGGTACCATTCTTCATCGTAGTCCTATTCCCATTGTTGACTTTGTTGTGAATGAATTGTTAGCTGAAGAAACTTGTTTCAAGGGAATTTCAAACAGAGGTTTACTTCCCTTACTGAGTCAGATTGTGCTAGCCATCCCTACTAGTAATCAGAGTTGCTCTTTTGTTCGCACGCCACTAGATGAATGTAGTTTTTGTCATCAGAAAGGTAATTGGAAGGCTCAGTGTCCTCGACTTACTGGATGTTCTCATTCTAGTTCAACCTCATCTTGGAAGAAGGGATCGCTCTTCTATGTCACCAGTGCCTTGGAAAAAGGGTTGGAACTCACATACAGCAGCTACAGTTCCTTCCGTAGAGGATTATGGTCCTTCATTGACTTCCCTTGCCGAGCAGGTTCATGCCATGCAGAAACTACTCTCTGCCACTACGCCTAACACCCTCTCAGTCTCTTCCTCTTTAGGTTTGCCTCCCACTTCTTCTTCGAGTATTTCTCGGTCCACTTGGGTCTTTAACTCTAGTGCTACTCATCACATGGCAAATGATTCCTCCTTATTTTATTTTATTTCCACTACTACTATTATGACTGCAAATGACACTCCCATGCCAGACGTTGGTTCTATTTTGATTAATTATCTCTCTGTCGTATATCTATTGCACTCCTCAATAGACTTTAAATCTCATTTATGTTAGCCAACTTTGTGAGCTTGGTTATCATGTTCACTTCTCTTTTTCTGGTTGTGTTGTGCAGGATCCTCATTCCAGACAGTAGATTGGGACCGGCCGTAAGTAGGGAGGGCTATATGTTCTTGAGTAGCTTTATGTTCCATCACTTGCTGCAACTTCTGTTGATTTGTCCTTTTTCTTAGTTCTCAGTCCTCTGAGGTTTATTTATGGCATTCTCGCCTTGGTCACATTTCTTGCTTTCATTCACAATATTTAGTTTCGACAGGTGTTTTGGGAAATTGTAGTACTCAGAATATTCAGATTGTAGTGGTTGCAAACTTGCAAAAAATACTGCTTTACCTTTTAATAAAAGTACTACTATTTCTTCTGCTCCCTTTGATCTTGTACATTCTGATATGTAGGGTCATGCTCCTATTCCTACTAAAGGGGGTTCTAAATACTATGTGTCATTTATTGATGATTACACTTGTCGTTGTTGGATTTATCTTATGAAACATCGGTCCGAATTTTCTTCTATTTTTTCTACTTTTCATGCCATGATTCATACACAATACTCTATTGTTATTAAATGTTTTCGTTGTGACTAGGGTGGAGAATATCGGGATACTAGTTTTCTTCAATTATTACAATCTGATGTACTCTTCAGTAGTCTTCATGTACTAAAACACCTGAACAAAATGGTGTAGCCGAAAGCATCGTCATATCATGGAGACTACTCGTTCTTTATTGCTTTCATCTTCTGTTCCTAGTTCCTTTTGGAGTGAGGCACTTGGACCTCTGGTATCTCTCCATTTGCACGATTACATAGTAAACTGCCCGATTACGATTATTTTTCTCTTCATGTGTTTGGCTATACTTGTTTTGTCCTTCTTCCTCGTGTTGAACACACTAAGTTGTCTACACATTCTACTACCTCGTTTGGGAAGTTAGCTATTTTACTCGGCTATTTTGGGCTTCGTTTGGGAAGTTAGGTTGGCTTTTTGGCTATTTTATCCCCAACTAAAAGTTCGTTTGGGTTGCCTTTTTTGACTTTTGTGAGAGAAAAAATGAAATAATTATGGTTTAGATGTAACATTTTATCTTATTGACTTTTTAGCCTATTTTGTCTTTTTGTAACTAATTTAGCTAAAAAACCAAAAAAACCCACATCCCAAACAACACCTTTTGACTATTTTAGTAGGCTAAAATATTTGTGTTTGGGAAGAGTGTTAGATTTGTTTGTAGTTGGATGTGATATTTGTGGGAGAAAAAGTACAATGATTATGGATTTGATGTGACATTTTGTCTTATTAGTTATTTCAGCCTATTTTGTCTTTTTGTGGATTTTAGCTAACAAAAAGCCTAAAATTGGCTTCCCAAACACCCCTTACATGTGTTTTTCTTGGGTATGGTGAGGGCCAAAAAGGATACCACTGCTATGATCCTTCTTCTAGGCATCTGATGTTTATCGCCATGTTGTCTTTCTAGAAAATATTTCCTTCTTTTCCATCCCATGTGCGTCGGCTTCTGTCTCTCAGTCTGATCTTATTTATCTTGATCCTTTTCCTGATAATATTCCTTCTGATTCGTATGTTAGTAACCTCTTTCCTTCCGATCTTCCCTCTTCGTCTTCCTCTCCTCCTCAGTTGTCTTCTAATGTTCATTGTCCTCCTCCTATCATTCACACTTATGTTCGTTGAAAAAGGCGTGACTTATCTACAGGTACCACTGCTCTCCCTCCTTTGGTTGAGGACCTATCGACTACTGATGATGAGGCTCCTACTCCTCACTTTCCTCAAAGAAATCGTAAATGTCCTGATCATTTTGGTTTCTCTAACTCTTGTTATTCTTCTGAATTCTTTCTTTTTTGGCTTTCATTCACTCTATTTCTAAGCCTACTCCTATAAGGAGGTTGTTTCTAATCCTCTTTGGTAGCAGACTATAAATGAGGAGTTTTTTGCATTGCATGCTACTGGCACTTGGGATCTTGTTCCTCTTCTTTCTAGTCAACATGTTGTGGGTTGTCGCTGGGTTTATAAAATTAAAACCAAGGCTAATGCTTCCATTGAGCAGTATAAGGCCCGTTTAGTTGCTAAAGGGTTTTCTCAAGAGTATGGAATTGATTATGAGGAGACATTTGCTCATGTTGCCAAGATGACCACTATTCTTACGTTGATTGTTGATGTGACTGTTCGCCACTGGTCTCTTCCCAAATGGATGTCAAGAATGCTTTCTTGAATGGTGATCTGACTGAAGATATCTATATGGCTTCCCACCTGGGCTGCCTTATCCTTCTGGCTCTGTGTGTAAACTGCGCAAAGCACTGTATAGCCTCAAACAGGCGCCTCGTACTTCGTTTGAGAAATTTGCTACTGTTGTATCTGCTTTGGGTTTTCACACTGGTGATCATGATTCAACTCTCTTTCTTTGCTCTACCTCAGCTAGTAGGATTATTCTTCTCTTGTATGTGGATGGCATGATCATCATTGATGATGATCTCGTTGGCATTTCTGCTCTCAGAGGTCACCTCAGTCATCATTTTGAGATAAAGGATCTTGGTCCTCTTCGGTATTTCTTAGGGATTGAGGTGGCTTCTTATCCTAAAGGCTATCTTTTCTCTCAGTCCAAATATGCCTTAGAGGTCATTCAGCGTGCTATGTTGACTGATACTCGCACTGTTGACAATCCACTGGAGCTTAATTTGCATTATACTTCGACTGATGGGTTTGCCTAATCCTACTTTGTATCGTGTTCTTGTTCGCAACTTGTCTATCTTACTGTTACCCGTCCTAATATTGCCTATGTTGTCCATATTGTTACTCAATTTGTTGCCTCTCCTACTGCAGTTCATTGAGCTGTGATTCTTCATATTTTGCAGTATCTTCGTAGGACTCTGCATCAGAGTTTGCTTTTTTCTTCTACCTCGTCATTGGATCATCGTGCCTATTCTAATACTGATTGGGTTGGTGATGCTATAGATCGTAAGTCCACTATTGGTGTTCGTGTGTTTTTTGGTACTTCTCTTAGCTCTTGGAAGAGCAAGAAGCAAACAATTGTTTCTCATTCTTCTGCTGAGGCTGAGTACTGTTCTATGGCTACTTCTGCTGAGGCTGAGTACAATCGTGATGGTTGCTTGTTGATTTTGGCATTTTGCTTTTACTCCTGTGTATTGTGATAATCAAAGTGCCATTCACATTGCTCATAACTCAATCTTCCATGAGCAGACTAAGCATATTAAGATTGATTGTTGTTTTGTGTGTCATCATCTTCAGCTTCGTTCTATCTTTACCATTTGTGCCATCTACTGTGCAGTTGGCCAATTTTTTCACCAAGTCTCATACGACTTTGCGCTTCCTTTTCTGCTTAACAAACTCTCAATGCTTCTTATTGTCACATCATGAGTTTGAGAAGGGGTGTTAAGCATATTTGTATTTTGGTATTATTATTTATTATTAAGGGTAGTTTAGTCTTTGGAATTTTTAGAGTTTGTTTACCTTAGATATATATGGCTCACTTTCTAACCTTTTTTCTCTATGCTTAATAATACAGTCTTCATTTTGTTCTAGTGTTGTCTATCAACTATTACATGCAATCTCAATGTTAGAATTTACCATTCACACTCACCTACTACACTCCACTACTCACACTCACCTACTACACTCCACTACTCCTCACCTACTACCCAAACCCTCTCCTATATAATGCCACTCTGATTTGTAATACAAAATATCAATCAAGAACAATCAATCAATAATATCCATCAATATATTTTACACTCAATGATATCATTTTCATTTTTCTCATTTCCTTTTCAAATTTTGTTTTCTAAGTTTTCTAAAAGAAAAAAGACGTGAATCCAGTTTTTGGAGAACACAGAAACATTACAAATAAATTGACTGTTTTCATGTTTTTTATTCAATAAACAGTCACGGGAAATAGTTTTGCCAAACGCATCTTCCGTATATATATATTTTCAAATAACAGAAAACAACTGTCTAAAACAAGACTAGACCGACCCTATATTTTTAAAACTCAATTCTATGCATGATAATTCAATGGTTCAAAACTCCGTTTGTTTGGTAGCATGTAAACAACCAAAGATAGAAAGGTTGTGAACTTTCAAAACTCAGCAGAAATTAATCAAAAAGCTTCTGTAACATTACTTAAACTATAGCAGAAGGCAAGTTACATATGCACTTTATCAAATCAGACACTAAGAGCATTAATAGAAGTGCTTCAACAAATAGAGTTTCTGAATCCAAATTTCATTCATCAATTTACTACTACACAAGCTATTAGTCCCTTCAATGGAAAGGTAATATTCTTAATTCGTTTGATATCGATTAATTGAAAATAATATAGGACATTACAATTTAAGCATAGTATATATTCTATAGAATAGCAAATGACTTTTGTATCAAGTTAGCAAGTTGATGACAGCATAATAGCCACAGGCCAGCCGCATCCCTAAGGTCAGCTAGGTGCTTTGACAGTTGTTCCAACAGAATGAATCTCATAAATTGAGTTAACTTTAAACTTAAAAGATCTCCTTTTTGGAACACTGAACTTGTCTAACCACAGCGTATTGTACAAGCAACATGAGTTGTACATTCCAGTCCATATGAATATTACTCTCTTTAAGTAATTCACCAGTTGTATTGGACAGGAATTCAAGTCCGTATAAATTTTACCCCAACAAGGTATTGTACTGTACGAACTCTTTGAGCAACAATACGAACTGTAAAAATAAAAGCATCGAACCAGATTTCTGATCTGGAATAACCCTTGTTTAGTTTGTTTTTCAAAGGATAATATGATGTCACTTTATTATGCAATAATGTTCACAATGCCAGTGTCCCTAGTGATGAGATACGTGCAAAGTCCTTACAAGAGGGCATACCTTCGCAAAACAAGAGTGCAAATCAACAGTTGACATCATCTCAGCTCTCTCCCCCAAACTCAAGTTTGGAGATTTCTCCCATGACAAATAAAGTAACTCCATCGGCATCTTCCCCAGTAAGCACAATCCTTCAACATTTGCTGTCATGCACATATAGAACCAAATGAGGCAACAAAAAAAGGTGCTTGTAAAGAAAAAGTGAACTTCAAGTTCATACAGAAATATTCAGAACTAAGAGGTAAAATACAACCAACAGTATACCTTAAGACAATGTAAAAACATGTCCTTATAACCATCAAAATTCATAGAAACAAGCATAGCAATTGTGAAGGTAAATAATATTTTTCTTCATTACCTTCAAGGTATTGGCTCACTAAATATCACAATCAGCCATTAATGTCAATGGTCTTTTCAACTTGAGACTTGAACACCTACAAGTTGTAATAAAAACTAGGGTTCATTACACCTCCTTAACTCTCACAGAATTTCACTTTACTCCCTCAACTTCAAATCTGTACATTTAGACCCGTCAACTATAAAAAAAAATCATACAAATGCCCCTCTTCTAAAGGGGTGACAATGATACAATTTTATAGTTGACAGGGGGTCAAAATGTATGATTTTGAAGGCGGCGGATAGACTAATATTCAGTGATAGTTGAGGGGCAGTCCGTGTAATAAACCTATTCCATGGAAATAGCCCCAATAGAAGAGGATTTCTCTTTAATCCTTTTCCATCCTGATCAATTAAAAAACATCATTATATGTTTTCTTAAAGAGAAAACAGAATGAAACCTCTTAACTTGTGATTGTTAAAGGATAGGAACACCACCTGAGCTCAAGGACCAGTAAACAAAAGGGAATTTGGCTGTTTCATCATTGAATATCACTAGCTACAACTTTTGAACATGATCGACCAAAGGTAAAGAATACATTACTGGGTTGCTAGAAGTTCCTTGATACACTCTCCAAACATGTTACTATGCCACTCAGCAAAGAGAGATTTACAAGTTTTGTTTTGATGATGATCTATATAGTTCTTTTCCTGCTACTGCATACAAACTATGAACAGATGTCGTGCCCCTTTTGGCAACTTTACTGAATCTGAAAGGCTCGTTTGGCAACTCATGTTGTGCAAAATATACAGAACTGAAAAACTTCAATAGTTCACTGACATTCCTGCCATATTCAGGCTTAATGTAGTCAGACAGTTAAGAAAACAAATTCACATCAATCAAATGCACCCAAGTTCAAGAAACATTAGCTAAATGGAAGATGTCCGAAACTTTGTGAAAATATTGTGTTGCATGAGGGAATCTGATGTACTTAATAACACAAAATCAATTTGTGATGGATTCTCAGGGTACGAAAGAAAACACGGTCTTAAGACTCTTAACAGATGTTGTCAATGCATTTCTTCAGTAAATGACAGTAACATTTCTAAATGACTTTGAAGTATCATAAATATAGACTTCGACCATTAAAGAAAGATAGATTAAAAATTCTGATACTTGGCGCACAGCACCTAGAGGCTAACTTATCTCACAGCAAAGGCTAGAGACATAAATCAAATACGTTGATCAAAATTTAGGTTCTCTTGTTAGAATGTCAATCTAACTTCATTTATCCTATACTACTGTGGTTAGATAGAGTCTTCATGAAAAACCTTTCAAATATCCACCACAAATGGAACTCTGATACAAAAGTGTACCTAAATCACAGATGTTAACTGATGTTCGAGAATTGAACTTTAGCTAGTCTTTCATGATGTATATACTCACCAGCAGTAATGCCAACAACATTCAAGTAAAACAAACTAGCATGCACAAAATAATGCTATTATTGAATGAGAATACATGCATACGTAGATGAAATAGATATATATGTCTAAAGATCGTGTTTGGTATACTGTTATGATTAGAAAGGAATTGGATGTCCCAGGACAATTAGCCCCCAGGCATCCAACCACCCTAGGACCATATACCTTGTATTTGAACCTGGGTTACAAGAAAACTCTAATTCTTTAGCAGTTTATGCTTTGGAACACACATTTCGAACATGGTACCCCTTTCATTCCAAAATGGTGAATTTACACTATGTTTGGGGAACCTAGGAGAGAAGAAAAGAAAGGATTACTTAAGTTATAAGAGAAAAGAAAAGAAATGAAATGATTGTAATATCTCTCCTTTTTGCTTGGATAAGTAAGAAATAAAAGAAAAAAAATGATTATGATTTATCTTCTTCTTGTTTGGTTAGATTTCATAAGAGAGAAGAAAAAAATTATTTTATGTTATATTACCAAAATAACCTTTTTATATTTTCAATCATTTTATTTCTTTTATTTTTACAAGGACAAAATTAGTATTATGAAAATATTGTTCGATTCCAGTTTTCAAAAAACATTTTTCAGAAAATTCTACTTTTTTATTTTTCGTATTTTAATGTTTTCAATGAATTTTTTTAATATTTTAAGCAATTTTTTTTTTTAATTTTTAGACACACCTAACATAAACACACTTAAAAAGTATAATATTTGTGAAAAAAATCTTTAAAAAATACACTAAATACCAAAAAAAAAAAAAAACGAAAATTTAGTACATTTTCATATGTTTGTGTATTTATTAATTTTTTAAAATATTTTTTCACAAATATTTTACTATTTAGATACATCTAAGTAAAGTGTATCTAAAAAGTAAAAAAATTACTTAAAATTTAAAAATATTCACTAAAAACAAAAAAAAACGAAAAACAAAAAACTCAGTTTCCAAAAAACTGAATTCAGAAAACTGAAACCAAACACACTCATTGGTTTCTTTTTTCTCCCAATCTCTCCACTTTTGAGAAGATTAAAAATAAGGGTTACAAGAGAAATTAGTTTCTTTCCGTTTCTCTCTATTTCTCCTCATTTCTCTCCACTTAAGTTATCCAAACAAGTAAGAGAAATACATATCTCTCCATTTCTTTTCTTTTCTCTCCAAATCACTCAATCCAAACATAGTGATCCAAAGCGATTGCCAAAGTTTTTCCTAACTACTTCTTTGATATTTTCTTTATGAGCAAAAGATCAAATATAATAAACTAAAATCTAGAGAGAGTTGAGTTATTCACAAAAAAAAAAATGTAAATAAATGAGTTATGATGCACTTACTAATATATTTTAACATGTTTAATTTAAAAAATAATAGACTATATTTTAGGGACCCGATATTCCCACTTCACCTTGCTCCCAATAGACTCCTTTCTTTGTCCTTATTATACATAATTACATTAATCCTCTTGAAATTTTGGTTTTTTCAAGGAGTGTATTTTGTGTGAAAGGGTATTAACGTAATTATGTATAATAAGGACAAAGAAGTGAATGTATTTGGAAGAAAGTGGAGTAGGAATAGCAGCTCCCATATTTTATTACATGTTTATTGCTTAAAAAAAAAAAAAACCTCTCTAACAATGAAGATACTTTATATTCTAATAATGCTACCTATACATGTACGTCCCTACTATACCACAATTTAGGACATTTGGTTTATCTTATGACTCATAAATCTAACGTCTACCAGATAGACCGTACTTTTCAGTCTATGGTCACTACATAATTTGGATCTACTATTAAATTATTACGGTCTGACTTGGGTGGGGAATATTTTAAAACTGAGTTCTGTGAGTATTTAGTCAATTTAGGTACCATTCACCAAACTTCTTGTATTGATACACCTGCCCAAAATGGTCGCACTGAACGTAAACATCGTCATCTCCTTGAGACAGCTAGGTCTATCCTTCTCTCTGCCTGTGTCCCGGCTTCGTTTTGGGGTGAGGCAGTTCTTTCTGCTGCTTTTCTTCTCAACCGTATGCCTACGCCCTTTCTCTCTAGTCGGTCTCTTTATGAGGCTCTGTTTTCTCAACTTCCCAATTACTCCCTCATTCGTGTGTTTGGATCTGCTTGTTTTGTCCTTTTACCCTGTAAAGATAGGATCAAACTGAGTGCCCATTCCGTCTTGTGCGTCTTTTTGCGTTACAGTCTCACTTAAAGGTTATCGTTGTTATGACTTTGTTTCCCGTCGCCTATATATCTCCCGCCATGTTGTCTTTCTTGAACATCTACCTTACTTTCAACTTCCTCCTCTCACAGCCCCAGTTTCCAAAGAGGATTTGGTTCATATTGATCCATTTCCTTCTGAGGTCCCTTCTAATGAGTACATTGCTACTGTTCCCCATGAGCTTGTTCTCTCTTCTCCTTGTCCTACCTCACCTGATGAGTCCCTCTCCCCTGACCCCCATGAGTCTATTTCCTCCTCCTCCTCCTCCTCCTCCTCAGTAGTAGTAGTAGTAGTAGTAGTATCGCAAGGCTCTTCCTCTACCAGTTGTATTTGCTCCTGCTGCTGATCCCCCTGCTTCTGACGACTCTGATCTTGCTAATTGTAAGTATCATCTTCGCATCCGTAAACAGGTAGTTAAACTTGGTTTTGCTAAAACGTATTTTTCTCCTTCATACTGCACCTTTTTGTCTACTATTTACTTTTTTTCAAAACCACAGTCTTACAAGGAGGCCTATTAAGATCCTAATTGGGTTCAAGCTATGGAGGATGAGCTGTCTGCTTTGTACAAGACTATTACTTGGGAGTTAGTTCCGTTGCCTACTGGCAAAAATCTAGTTGGTTGCAAATGGGTCTACAAAGTCAAGACTCACTCTGATGGTTCTCTTGAGCGCTACAAAGCTCGCCTGGTTGCCAAAGATTTCTCCCAGAGTATGGTATTGGTTATGAGGAGACATTTGCCACTGTTGCCAAGATGACTACTATTCGTACTTTGATTTATGTTGCTACTGTTCGTCATTAGCCTCTCTATCAGATGTGTTAGACCTTTTGTATTTTGATGATTGTTTTTGTTTATATTTTAACTTTGTTTTGATTTATTTGAAAGAAGGAAATAGATTGAATTAGTATAATTTATTCCATAATATTTTGATCCTTGCTTAAATACTAATCATGCCTTTCTTGAGTACAAAATGAGGCTAAAACAGGTACCAAACCATTGCACCAGAGCAGTAGAAGCACACCTGACCACATTACAGAACCACCCAGTTGTGGGTTATTGAGCCCGGCCGTGGGTTTTGTGACCCAGCCGGATTTCATTCCGGACGTCCAAGGGGACGACTGGCCAGATGTCCGAACGAACGACCTGTAGTGGATTTTTTGGCCCAGTTTGCTTCTATTTCAGCTCTATACGCTCCGGACGTTAGACTAGCAGTACACTCGACGACCGTGGATGACAACCTTGACAACCGGACCTCATGGGACATCCGGGCGAACATCTGGGCAAATGACCACCAAGAACAAAACTTCATCTAGGACATCCGGGTGGACAACCACTCTGTGCTACAATGGCTATTTTTCAAAAAATACTTGCCAACAATCAGACCCATGTTTCAACTCCTTCAACAACTAATCTTGTATGGGGAATACAAGTTTGAGTAGAGTAGACTTAAACAAAATCTCACTCAATCTTCTCAACACACGCAACAGACAACGGACGATCAATTTCTTCTTTATAAATAGAAGTGCTCCTGCTGCTGAACAAAAAAAAACAAAAACACAAGCAAGAAATCATTTATGATCTTTCATCACTCTCATCTTTCATCTATTCTCTAAGAAGTGTTCTTCATTTTTGGTTTACATTTTTCTCTCATAAATTATACACTGAGCCTTATAGCGTTAAGCTTATCTTACCTGTGTAAGGTTTACAGAAAAATCAGAACTTCAACTTGTATATCTATCTTTGAGAGATAACTCTTATAACTTTCTTTGAAAGCAAAAACAACTCCATTTCAGTCTTGTAAGATTATAGTACACTTAGTGTTCTTGACTTTTTGAGTGTGATTGAGAATCAGCTAAAGAGGGCAAGGGTTTGGACTTGGAAAGTCTATGTAAAATCTGTGAAGGATTGCTCCATTTGTGAAGAGGTTTCTAACACCCCTGTGAAGCTAGAGGATAGTGGAAAATCTCAAGTGAAGCTTGAGAAGTAGATGTAGGCTTGGTTGAAGCTGAACCACTATAAATTTGTTTGCCTCCCTCTCTCTTATCTCTTTATTTTGTTGAACTGTTATAGCTATATCTCATATACTCACTGTGCTAAATTCATTAACTGGTATAGCTATTAGAACACTTGTGTTAACCATCAAATCTCTTCATTCATTGCATATAGCTATCTATTAGTTTTCTTCCATTAAGTGTTAGTTATAATTGCTTACTTATCTAAATCACAATCTATCAAGGGAAAAATCAAACACTGTATTTTTGCTTAAACTACTTAACTGATATTCTCTCATTGTGATTGTCGAAGTCATCTTTGTTTCATTAGCTACATTTATCTGTTGTGTTAATTTTAATTTGTAGAAACCTAATTCACCCCTCCCCTCTTAGGTTATTTTTTGGGTAACAAGATGGATGTTAAGAATGCCTTTCTTAATGGTCATCTCACTGAGGAAGTTTACATGCGTCCTTCCCCTAACCTTCAACATTCCTTTGGACAAGTATGTTGTATTCGGCGTACTCTGTATGGTCTAAAGCAATCTCCTCATGCTTGGTATCATCGCTTTCAGACTGTTGTTACTAAGCTTGGGTTTCATCCTTCTACCCAGGACTCTGCTTTGTTTCTCCTCCACACCTCTGCAAGTGTTGTTGCTTTATTACTGTATGTGGATAATATAATTATTACTGACTCTGATTCTTCTGCTATCTCTGAGGTCAAGCAGAATCTCTTCTGCACCTTAGAAATGAAGAATTTGGGCCCATTGCGGTATCTTCTTAGTATTGAGTTGGCTTCTTCTCCCAAGAGCTACTTTCTGTCATAGGCCAAGTATGCTAATAAAGTTATTCACTGTGATGGTCTTCCTGACAGTAAGATTGTTGATACCCTCATTGAGCTTAATGTGAAACTTAACACTACTGATGGTATTCCTCTGTCTGATCCTACTTTATATCGAGAGCTCGTGCAATGCTTAGTCTATCTGACGATTACTCGCCCTGATCTTGCCTATGTTGTTCATATGGCTAGTCAGTTCGTTTCTGCTCCTCGTTCTACACATTGGCTGCTTTGGTTCGGATTCTTCGCTATCTTCGCGGTACTATCTTCTAAGGATTCTTGTTGTCTTCTACTTCTTCCTTAGCTTTAGTAGCATATGCTGATGCTAATTGGGCTGGTGATATTACAGATCGTAAGTCCACTTCTAGTTTCCATATATATTTCTTGGTGATTCCTTGATTTTTTTAAAAAGCAAGAAACAAACTGTTGTTGCCTGTTATGGCTCATGCTGCTGTTGAAATTGGCTTCGTTGTCTTCTCTCTGACTTGCGCATCCCTCACTCTTCTCTGACCTCCCTCTATTGTGATAACCGTAGTGCTATTCAAATTGCCCATAACACTGTCTTCCATGAGCGAACAAAGCGCATTGAGATTAATTGTCACTTTGTCAGTCAACATCTGCAATCTAACTCTATCTCGCTTCCTTCCGTTTTTTCGACTTTGCAACTTGCCGACTTCTTTATCAAGACTCACACCACTGTTCGGTTTCAGTTTCTTCTTGGCAAACTCTCACGCTGTATTTGGTTGGGGGAATTAGGGAAGGATTTGGAAAGGAAAAGGAAAAGGAAAAAGAAAAAAGTGTGTGAAACTAGGTGAAATATAGGTATGTTTTTTTCACATTTTACATACTTTTTCCATTTTCCTTTCTAAATCCCTCCTCAAATCCCCCAACTAAACACAACATCAGTATTTTCTACTAAAACACATTGAGTTTGAGTGGGGGTATGAGAATATTAGGTTAGGTTTATATATATGATAGTGTATATTATGTATATATATGGCAGTGTTTCCTTTCCTATATATTAGGTTAGGTTTATATATATGGTAGTGTATATTGTGTATATATATCGCAGTGTTTCCTTTTCCTATATGGCAATGTTTCCTTTTCCTTTTTAGTCTTAGGGTTAGGATTACTATATGATCAAATGTATTCTTTATATTATAACACAATGGAATATACAAATTCTCTCAAAAATCTTACAGTAATCACATTAGTTCTGGTTCCCGTCCTCCATACCAGAACAATCCATTCTAAAAGTAACTTAGATCTAGACTCGTCCAGAGTTTGATCGGCGGTGAGATAACAAATGGGAAAAGGTGAGCCCCTTGATTTTCAACCATTAGATATTGTGCCAAACCTTAATTCACCATTCCCAACCCCACAGCCACCCCATCCCAAATGTACTTGAAAAGAAAAAAAGGGGAAAAAAAAAAACAATGGGGTTATTTTAACTCCCATGGTGGTGGACATAAGTTATCAAACCCCACTTTTGGCGACTCAAGCATCAGATAAGCAGGCCGCAAGGACAAATAGTCCAATCCTCCTTGTTCATATCCTTGTACCAAGCATCACCAAGGAGTTTAGTGAAGAAAGAAACCAACAATTTCTTAAGCATTTGCAGAACATTTATCATGAGGCATGACACAAAGAAGTTAACTAAAGCACATCTTACATGGAAAAGATGTCATGGCCATATGGCTCTTGGTTGGATCAGTAGCGCACACAGAATTCGTGACTTCAGCTGCAAAATAATACAATAGTTACTGTTACGACAGAAAGCATACTTACATTTTATCATCATAAACTAATCAAATTATACAGATTATAGTGTACCAAAGCTGACAAACAAAACAACAAGAGAGCCAGATTTGACATCCGCTGCCAGCTTGTTAAACTCAGGAAGAATAAAATTTGCTTGAGCTTGATTCTTCCCCTCAGCTCCAGTAGAAATGGTCAAGATACATGCCCGACTAAAGCGATAAACTGCAGAATTCTGTCCCCAAATGACATCAGCGAAAGCAAAACAAATACTCAAGTAAAAAGGAAAGGGAAGGACTTATTTAACTAAAGACTAACTAGAAACACTAGTACCTCTGCAACTGCAAAGTTATTAACTGGCCTTGCCAATAATATGTACAGAGGAAAATAATTTTGAGTTTCCAATCCATCATTTGAAGTCCCTGACAAGGAAATTGTCATTTGAATCCTACAGATTTAAACAGAAGCAATCAATTAGTGTTCTACATCTACTGTAAAACTGTACGCTAAAACTTGAAGGAACAGCAATTGTATCTTCCAAATAAAATCATTATAAAAGGCATGTTTCCAATGACTCGGTCCTCAGACTTGGCTGGTAAACAGAAACCAGCGAATGAAAGTTCATTGAAGAGATAATTTTCCTCCAAGTCTAAGATGATCCCATAGAATATTCCTTTCTTCGCCAACATAGAACAAGATAAATAAAACTTTTCCACCTGGAGTGGAGAGGCTAATGAAGGCATACAAGCACACTGTTTATATCTAGGATCCCAAAGACCTCCAGCCAACATTCTATCCAAGGTCCTCCTTTAATTCCCAAAACATGATAGTATCAGTTTCACTATTATTTCCTAACAACCTCTATAATAGCTCCTTCCCTTCCTAAACCCAAAACAACATTGATCCAACACAAAAACTTATAATTCACTGCCTAAAGCTCCTTAGTGTAGAAGAGCATCTGCCTCTTTAGTCTTTACCTAAAGACCAAACACCGATGAAGCATGGATACTTTCACAAACATGCCATACCTGTACTAGATACTTGCCGAGTACTGGTACTGCTGCAGGCGTACCAGATACACAAAACATACCCCAAAGGTACCAAATATATAACTAAACCGTACCTCATATTTCTTCTAATTTAAGTTAGTTTCATTGACCTTTTTTTATGCTTAGCATGATTTTAAAATTAAGCATTGGTTTGTAACTTATTTAATATAATGACCTTTAATTTTAGTTTATACCTTACTTTTAGCATGATTGTAGAATGAATCTTAACCAACTAAACTATTTGACTAATTTCCAAATATAAAAATAAAAATAAAAAAATTACAAACGTACCACTATACTATATGTTCTAGGGTCAATTTTTGAGTTAAATTTTCAGCCTGCAATGGCACTAAGTTACAGCACTTAGTCTCAGCCAAACATGCATGAATTACTCACAATGAGGTTTGTAAACAAACAAGCATACACAAGCACATTACAGAAATCATTCCCAACCTTTATTACCACCAGACAATATAAGGATACAAGAGCAGTTGTACAGATTACACACTCTGCCTGAAACTCTCAATGCCTTGGCATTTTAAAGGCATTTACATATCAATTACGAGCAATTGACACCCCTAACTACTAGAGTAAATTCAAACCAGCAAAGGCTGCTGCAGAAAATAACTGTTGGTAACCAGATCCTTAATTTCAGCCTTCTTTGTCATGGATCCTTGCAACCATAACTGCCAATAACCGACCGCCATGTCTGTCAGCCTTGCATCATGCCAACATAACTGCCATCCATGTCAGCCTTTGAACCCTCCTGAGTTTGACCCACGAATTTGTGAGTCTTGATCTGCCACTAGGTGTCAAGCCCACTGATATGTTTGACCCAACAAGCCCACGCTACCAGCAGCATTTGGGCTAAGTCTAGCCTTGCATTTGCCCACATGAAGCATCACTTGTCTTTGAGTCTTGTGGCATTGCCACTGCCACCTTGTTACCATGACTTAGTCATGCCTCCCTCATGCCTAACTTGGATGGTTGACATAGGTGCAAGGTGCCACCGCATGCCAACCTACGTGTCCAAGTCCTAAGGTGCTAACACTATACCAATACCGATACATGTGAGTGTACACATGCTTCATAGCCTAACTCTAGTCATTGTTTTAGAGACCTTACGGCATATTTTCTAAAAGAACAAGATGTTTAATTTCAGTAAAACGCTCAACTTAGCATTCCCAACTTATGACACTTGCCTTCCATGCAAAATTTTCATATTTTTCTTCGAACTCCAAAATTCAATTATATTTATAAACATTTTAATATGTATATGTAAGGTAAAAAGTGAAGCAAGTTTCTCTTTATGTAATATAATACCAGTGTTATTAAAGGTAGGCGCACCGAGGCGCCAAGGTCTCTTGGGGCCTAGGCACAAGGCCCAAGGTGAGACGTAGGCTTTACCGAAGTGAGGCACACCTTGTACGTAAAAACATATATAATTTAATATAAGAAAACAATTTAAGAAGAAGAAACGTAGAGAAGAGAAGTGAAGAAAACAACAATGTAGAGAAGAAGAGAAGAGAAAAGAATAAGAGAGAAATGAACGAAGAAAAGAATAAGAAGAAGATAGCAACGTGAAGAATAATTTTTAGAGCTGTTGGACTGGATAACGAAAGCAGGCAGCAAAAAAGTGTTCTTCGGATATTAGGAATTAGGACTAATTTATCTTCTATCGTTGATTTGGGGCTGAAAATGTAGTGGCATGTGTACTTAAGAATAAGGATCTTTTATAGTTGCACCATGTTAAATCAATGGTCAGATTTTAAACAAAATCAATCAAAACAACAATAATAATAAATAAATAAATAAAGCCCTCAAGGTGCAGCAGGCCATGGGCTTTTCTGTGCCTTGGCCCAATCGCACGCATTAAGCGTGACTTATCCAAGTCGCCTAGCCTAAAACACTGCAAGGCGTAAATCTTGAGCCTAGATGGGACGTGGGTCTAGGCACATGCCTAGGCGCACGTTTAATAACACTATATAATACTGAGGGCTAGAAGGGTTGCAAATGAACCTTAAGGAGTTGGTCTAGTGGGCACAATTTAGGGCCTAGGGATGTGATCCCTCTAAGTCTCAAATTCAATACTCACTAACCCCTATATGCTCTTTGGGCCCAGTCCATACAGGGCATTCGCTCTGGCTTTAAATGAGGGCCCGGCAAGTAGGCGGTGGGATTGGTTTTCCGAAATTAGTCGAGATGCGTGTAAACTGGTCTGAATACCCGATGATCAAAAAAAAAAAGGCTGCGAATGAACCTAACTAGTCATGAATAGCTCAAGGCTCAGCTCAGCAAAGGTTCATCCAAACATGCTCATCAAAGTTAATGGGCTCAATTTGGCCCTAAATTTCAAGATTAGTCAAGTTGATCCTGAACAAAATTGAGTGTCGCTTACATTGTCACCTTATACATGTGTCTTAATTAATCTTCATAATATAAGAACTTTGATATTCTTGGCACCGGTGTCATGTAATTGTCACAACCATAGCTTCAAGCTCTAATTTTGATATGCATAGTAATAAATTAATAATATCATTATTGGAGGGTGGGACGTGGGAGGGAGAGAGGACAGAGGAGAAAAGAGAGAAGAGAGAAGCAAGAGACGATGGGTTGTTGTCAACCAAGGAAAAAAATGGGAGCAAGTTTGATGCAGAGTTTAAGAAACTCAAGAAAGAGTAAACTCAAAATAATGACGATATTTGAAACTTTGCATAATTTTAAAGAGAAACCAATAGTAACCACATATAATCGTATTTCTAGTATTATTAGAGTCTTATTTTATGATTATTTAGGAGTATTTTGATAATTTATTGAATTCCTAGGTATGGGTTGTAGGGGTCTCGCCCATTAGTCGCCTTGTGAGTCAATTATTTAACTAATTTTTGTTTATATTTCTTATTTGGTTTTAAATTGATTTTAAAAGCAAGATATTTTAGTAGTTTCTTTTTATGGTTATAGTTGGAATAGGAAGTCTCTAAAATACTATATAAAGTCATGTAATACTTCTAATTCAATAGAGTTAATATTTTAAAGAATTTCAAAATCTTTTGAAACTTCTTTATGGATTGTGTGATACAATCAAACCCTAGGTGTGACATCTAAGAAATTCTATGAGTGATTCCTAGACCTATCTTCTTCTTTCTTTTTCTTTTCTGTTTCAATTTACTATTATCGAATCATTATTCACAGCCCTCTAAAAGTGCACTTTTCAATCTCAAAATCCCATCCAATCACCCCCAAATCAACCCTAATCCCTTCCCCTACCTATTAGCCTTCAATTTAACCCTTAAACCCCTAAATTATTCACTGTTTAGGCCGTCAAATAACCTCTGTTTTCAAAATCCAGCACTGTCCTACATCAAAGTTGAACAAGTATAAGCAAAGTGCACAGAAGTTTGAGCTAAGCCTAAACACCAGCTCGTCCTACCTGAACCAACCACAAACAGCCATGATCCAAGACGGAGCCCCAATGAAAGCTGCCCTACAATCAAAAGGTAGGCTGGGGCCTTACTATTCAGGTTATGATTAAAGGAAAAATTAGAGTAAACGATCAGATTTTGGGTTGAAGTGGTCAAGGTCTAAGATTGTTTTGAACCAAAAAAACAACGGAGTTAAACTTGCTGAATTTTCCAGACAAAAAGTTGTAAGACTGTTATATGGTATGTAATTGGAATTAGGGTTTAGAGAACCATGGGATAGGGCTTTGGGAATTAAATTAGGGATTTAGAAGGGCTGGCTATGCTTGTTAGAGTTGCTGAAAAAATGAAACAAAGAAGAAAAAGATGACAAGAGTCTTTATAATCACTCTGAGGCTTTTCTAGGAGTCTCCCCCGACAAGAAACCAATGAAGCCTCACCGTTGAAGAGAGAAAAATAGCAGAGGAATGATATACATTGAAGTTGCTCAAGCTGAATATGTCCAACATATCATCAATGACGTCGTGTTATTTGGGTTGGAAAAAACTTCAGTTCCTTCAAATAATCTTCCAGACTTTCCAGCAAACTTGTTGATCAATGGACAAAACTTTTCAAAGGAGGGAAGAAAAATGTACTCAAATTTGTATGCCACTGGTTGCAGCAACAACCAACAAACGACCAGATATAGAGTGAAGAATGACTTTGTCTATAATTGCTTTCATGAGTTATAACTTTCAAGGTGACTTGAAAATAATGCAAATATACTGATACTTATGCCCACGATTTCTACTACCTGCTTTGCAAAATATATGCTGCATTGTTTGGGTTGCTTTCATGTCTCTACATTTATTATTGCCCTTCTCCCAAATTATATCAGCAAGCTGGTTAGAAGAAGATAAACAACTTTAGCCATGCCTACTAAGCTTGGTAACTTCATTCACAAAACATCCTTTGGTATATCACCAACATGAAGAAACCCAGACAGTTTTGCTAGTAGATGCACCGGCAAGGAGTCACTTTCATTTCTCACATTATAAGATGTTGAGGCCACCAGACCAACAACTTGGCTCGGTTGAGTTTACATCCCCAACAACTAAGGTAACTCAAGCATAAAGGAAGACATAAATATATGGCATATGAAGTATATGTTCTGTAGAAGTCAAAAGAAAGCAGAAGAGAACCTTGATATGTTCCCTCTAAACCTTACGGTAGCTTTGGAATTATAATGTTAATGTATTACTAAATTAGAACCAATTTGTTGATAAAACACCCTCAAGAAAAATAATAATAATAATAATAATAACAATCAAATTGTCAATCCATATGATTGTATCAACATTTATCATCTTTATTGGATTTTGTACTCATAATTTGGAAGATGCAGTCATGATCTATTGCAAGCCAACAATGAATATTATCATTCACACAGATTGTGCCTTTCTTTTTTGGTAGAGGTTTAGTAACCTCTAACAATCATTGAGCAAGTGGCAAATAACAACCAATGAAAATTGTTACAATGGTTTTAAATAACAATATCAAGATATGTATTGATATCGGCAATACGGTCATATATTGGCCAATATCTGACAGTATCAGCTGATATATTAGTGAATAATAGTATCAAGTCCAAAATCCCATTATGTATCAGCCGATACAATGGCTAACAACCGATATGTAAAACCCTGGTTACAAGTATGTGCCATATAATGTTTAAAAGGTTGTACCTTTTTTTGTGCTTCGCTTGTATTTTGTACTGCAAGCATCTTTGAAGAAATGAAGGCTGCATAATAATGTTCCTTCAGTCAGAAACATAAGATAGAAAAAAGGCATAATTAACAAGATATTGAAAGCTTGAAGCACATCATCTAAGGAGATTCTAGTAAATACAATAGTGTAAATTGTGAAGACATCCATCACCACCACTACATCCAATTATGGGTTTGAACACTGATGTACAAGGACCCTACCCTAGCACCAATCATGATGCCAGACCAAGCAAATCAAAAACAGCAATAAAGAGAGAAACATTGGCAATGAAGCACATTACATTTCTAATAGCACGGCGTTGAAGAATATTGTAAAGTTCTACAGGCTTGCAGTATATTGAAAGGCTCTCCTCAGCTGCAACTTCCTCCTCTACAGACAAATGCACGCGAGAATCTTGGCGGCACATCTGATCTGCACTTCTAGTGTAGCTGCAATTGCAAAGAGAATTCCTGTTCCATGAACTGGTATAAATGAAGAGTTCTATTCACACTCCAATCATTATCACATAACTCCCTCATATTTTACAAAAAATACCAAATAAGAGTCCATCAATTCAATTTTTTTCTTTTTGGTTGGTAATATCTATCTTTTAATGCTCAAAAACATAGTTGTCAAATCGAGATTCGTATCGTGAATCGAAATGACATTGTACCGAATCGCGAATCGAATCGAATCATTAATCGTAAAGATTCGGTCACTTTTTTAAAATTACTTAAAAATATATATTTATACATTTACATGTTAAATATATCTTATGAATATGAAATATCTAGACTTAAATTAATGAAAATGTTATTTTGAGTGATAATCATGTAGTTTAATAGGTAAGAAGTTAACAAAATTCTTATGTAAGATCACTATCTTACTTTTTTTCTTTTTAGATATTTATTATCAACTATTCTTAATAAAGATAATAACCAAATAGACAAATTATCAATTTCCAAAGTAACAATAATTAACAACGATATTGATATTTGGACAATAAGCATACATACTTTTCTAAGTAAGAGTGAACAAATAATAAGAAAGAATTATTTAGAATATTTTATTTTAAAGCTTAAAACATTTTCAAAGGTATAACTGACCTCACATATGTAATATTCAATTATATTCCAACCACCAAACCAAACCAAGCCTTAAGCCTTAAGTCCTCACATATGTAATATTCAATTTAATAAAATAGCAATAGATAATTCATAGTGTAACTTTAATCTTAAACATCTTTAAAAGATATATTATGATTTTTTAAAGGGGAAAAAATTGAGAAGAAAGGTTAAAAATATGTTGGATCTTAATGAATCTGATTGGATTCTATTAAAAATTTCATGATAACTAAAATAATAACAAATTATGTATATATGTTGGTTACTTTGGTATTAAACGCTATTAGAAGTTGTATTATGTCATTTTCATTAAAAATATGGAGAAAGAAATTGTTGAAAATATGTCGGACACAATAATTTAAAAAATTACGTGAATTGTAAAAAGTGAATTGAATCGTGAATCGATTGTGAATCATGCGACTCACTAGAGATTTACTTCCAAAATATATTTACCCATACATTCGTATCGATTTTGCAAAAAATTCCAATCGAATCGTGAATCGAATCGCGAATCGTAAGATTTTGATAACAGAGAGATTCATCTATAGATTCGTATCGATTTTGCAAAAATTGTGAATCGAATCGTGAATCGAATCGCGAATCGTAAGATTCTGATAACAGAGCTCAAAAATATATATATGTATATATATATATCAAAAGCTTTTAAAAAAACTATACATATATATTGTCAATTTAAAGTAAAAAAATAATTGAATAACCACTTCAAGGATGATCCCTTATTGTATAATTAGGACAGGTTACTTGATTATTGAGGCAGTACTACTAACATAATGGGCTAAAAAGGAACGTACGTCGTTTCACGAGCCACTAAAGGTATGCCTGGCATTCTGGTTAGACAATGTTGAAATGTAAATTCATAGCTATGTCTTCTTTCCAAAGTCAGTAACCACTAGCCACCCAGACCTGAAAGAAATGGTCATCATGGAAAGCCTTCAATTACAAGGAATTATAAGCTAAAGAAACTGTCAATGTTTGTGACAGATTTGTGAACATGCACGTACACGTGATCTATCTTCATGTCATTGCCTTGGTCTAATCAAAGTTTTGAAAGGCGAATGCATGATGCGAGGCGTTTTATCCCTCTTGAGGCAAGATATAAGCCTTAAGGCATTAAGCTAGAACCATTTCAAACTTTGAATTTTTATATTTAATAAATAAATTAAAACAACACCCAATTAGTACACATTAATGTGTGTTTGGGAGCGAAAAGATTGAGTACACATCTAACCTTTAGCATAACCTCAAGGTTAATAAATAAATTATTTATTTTAAAATAGTAAAATATTAAAAATTAAATATAGAGGTGTAGATGTTTTTTTCTTAAGAGCATCAAACATTTCATTGCAAAGAAGGAAACTAGCCCTCATTGAAAGTGAAATTGGCATTTTTAGCTTTAGCAATTGAGCTTCTCACTTGAACCTTAAGTTTGTGTTTTTTCTTGATTGGTCATTTACTTGATTTTCCCATGGAATATAGGTGCAAAAAGGTTCTTTTATTTTTTTTTATGTTTTATATTTAAACCATCTACTAAATGGAGTTTAACAAGAGCCTAAGACAAACTCATTCCTCACATGCTTGTACACAAAAGGCATACCAGGCGCATGTCTTATACTATATATGCTATCCTTTGGAGAGCATAGCCTAAAAATCAAAGCTTTGATGTATTTTGCCCGAAGGCGAGCCTCAAAAAAAGCCTTTTAAAACTTTAGGTCCAATATCCCATGTAATTTGGAATTTCTAGAAGCTAATAAAGATGCCACAGGGTAGATAGAGTATTGGAAAAGCATTCAAGAAAAAAAGCTTGGATCTAAACAAGTTGAGTCCTCAAAGCGATATATACATAATTATTTTTAAATTTTTGATTAGACTAAAACTTACACATAAGCTAAAAAATGTTGAGAAGCCACATTGTAATTTCATAATGCAAAATACTTGGCCTTGGTTGGTTTGTGTTTTAAGATATTATTCAAAAATAATTTTCTAGAGAGAGTTTAGAAAATTTAAAATTTTGTTTGGTTGTATGTTTTGAAAATAGTTTTGGAGTTTGGGATGATTTGATTTTTTTTTTTATAATTGAATAGATGGGTGTGAGAGAAAAAGTGATAGAGAAAGAGAGAGGAGAGAGGAGAGAGGAGAGAGCAAAAGTAATTGATTGTTGTGTAGTAGAAAGAAAAGTGATTTTGAAATTTTCTTTTTTAAAATTTCAACCAAACATGTTTTTGGATTTTTTTTTTTTCTCCAAAAACATGTTTTGAGAGACAACCAAACATGACCCTTGTCTTTTAAGAATTAGGTATTAATTTAAGCCAGTACCTAGTTTTCTTTTTAAATTTTCAATGAGTTTTGTAAATATTTCATTTCAATATCAAGTATAATATGTTTATATTACAATAATAAAACAATCCACAACTTGTCCTTGTGCTTTTCCCTTTTGCATTAGTAATAAATATATTCAAGTTACTTATTTATTTATTGATATTTAATTTTACTATTGTTTCTATCGTTAATCCTTACTTTCTATGTAGTTATAGGGAACATGCATGAAACAATACGGATACCTCAAGGCTCAATTTGACAAATTCTATTACTTTAACTCACTATGTTCTTCTTATCAAAGAACTAAACAAATTATTAAAAATATATATAAATATTCTTGTATTTATCCTTACAATTATATTATATTATAATGCTATGTAAGAAATGCTACCATTCTAATTTCGTAAAAGAAGTAATACATAACTTTTGAAATTTTCTTTTTTAAAATTTCAACCAAACATGTTTTTGGATTTTTTTTTTCTCCAAAAACATGTTTTGAGAGACAACCAAACATGACCCTTATCTTTTAAGAATTAGGTATTAATTTAAGCCAGTAGCTAGTTTTCTTTTTAAATTTTCAATGAGTTTTGTAAATATTTCATTTCAATATCAAGTATAATATGTTTACATTACAATAATAAAACAATCCACAACTTGTCCTTGTGCTTTTCCCTTTTGCATTAGTAATAAATATATTCAAGTTACTTATTTATTTATTGATATTTAATTTTACTATTGTTTCTATGGTTAATCCTTACTTTCTATGTAGTTATAGGGAACATGCATGAAACAATACGGATACCTCAAGGCTCAATTTGACAAATTCTATTACTTTAACTCACTATGTTCTTCTTATCAAAGAACTAAACAAATTATTAAAAATATATATAAATATTCTTGTATTTATCCTTACAATTATATTATATTATAATGCTATGTAAGAAATGCTACCATTCTAATTTCGTAAAAGAAGTAATACATAACTTGGAGTATCCAATACTTCAAAATTAAACATCCGATACTCTAAAACTAATAAAAAAATAATTAAATATCCAATACATATCCGCAAATATCCAAAGAGTATCGGTATGCGACATGGATACATTCTCTTTTTAAAGTATCCATGCTTCATAGCAACATCATTAAAGAAAATACCATAGAAATGCAAGAGAAATTGCCTTTTTTATTTTTTATTTTTTTGGCCCAAGGTTCCTCACTTTGATTATATCACTAACAAACACCCTTATGTCCACAGTGGTCAAGAGTTTCATTGACATTAATCTACCACACAATTCCAGCGACATATAGACAGAAAAAATATGCGTATATGAATACGTATATGGGCATTGATTGGGATCGAAGCGGGCGTGACTAACATAGAGATCCGTATTTAGGAGCAGAAACAAGCAATGTAAGTATGTATCTGTAAACAAACCAAAAACACAACCATCGCGAGACATTCAATTGGGGGATAGCAAAAAAAACATACCTCATATCATATAGTTAAAACCCTAATCTTTTAATCCCCAAATCGAAGATCTCTTCTCTTTATACAAACGCTTTCCAATTTCGAATATATATGTGTATATATATACAAGGAACAGAGAGAGAGAGAGAGAGGTGGAAATTCGGGAGGTAGAGAGAGAAGAGAGAGTTTTGATAGGAAGCTTATGGCATGGAATGGAGTCGGACGGCGTACCTGACTAGCTGATTGCCTGTGGAGCTGCTGGTGATGTCAGTATTAATTTAGCAGTCGTGCTACGTATCGGGAATTACATATTTTAATTAAAAAATTAAAAAATTATTATAAATTATTATATTGTTTTATTTATTTATTTTTATAAAAAATTATTTGACCTAAATACTATCATAACAATTATTAATTAATAAAGTTCAATTATTATTGTGTGGACTGGATGATGTGCTTACCCATATCTATCTTTAGGCTAGGTTTCACGCCTTACATTTTTATTCAAAAATTTATGAGAAAATTGGTCTAGGGTCCCTCTCCCACTTTTCATAATGGAAGAGGTCCACAAAATTATTTTTTAATGTCTAAGGTCCCTAAACAATCACAGAGAAATTTGACCTTACCAAATCAAAACTCATCTTTCTCTCTCTCTCTCTAAACTTCTCCATTCTCATACCTATCCAGATCAACTCTTGTTCCTCACCCCTAACTTCATTCTCCAACCGATTGAGCTCCAGCTTCACCGGATCCGACCTTCAACGGCGTCGCCGAGAAACAAACAGTCAGTAGGAGACTCCAATTTCTCGAAACCAAATCCATGGCTGTGAATTATGAATCCTACTTTTCTTCCTTTGTGTTAGTATTTTTTTAGAGTATTGAGAGTCCTATCCATTGATAAATTATTGTTGGGATTTCTTGTGATGTCCTTGTTGCCATGTGTTTTTGTCTGCAAATTTATTTATTGTTTTTATTGCCAATGGCAGCATAAACTTTTATGCAGGCCTTAAATGTGTGTATATATATATGGATAAGTTTTAAGCAAGCCTTGAATTTTACATAGTTTTCTGTTTAACTGAAATTCTGAGATGGGTTTGCAGGATTCTGGATAATCTTCCAGTCGCTGTTCTGAGACAAAGGAGGGATGGCAGTCCGTCAACCACTTATGAACATGGTTTCCGTGTGGGGTTCAAAGGAAATTATGCAGGGGTGAGTAGCGATAGACAACTGCTGCTGTAGTGTTCTTTTGTTAATACGTATTTTTTTATTTTTGGGTATGCTTTTATAGAGCAAAGAGGAGAAGTATTTTATAAATAACCACTTGAGCTTTAGAGTCATGTATCACAAGGATCTTGAGACTGATTCCGCTCGAATTGTTAGCTTTGAGAGAATTTCTGTAGAAAGGTTTGTCTGGGAATTTCTCTGGGTTAGGGAATTTCTCTGGGTATCTGTCTATGAGCGTGTTCTGGTTAGCTCCTCAATTCATCATTCTTGGGATTGGAGATGGGTTTACACTTGTTGGCCTACAAGAGTACTTCTATGATCAAGTACCAAATTCAATGAATTTGTGTATGTACGTGTGGTATATATATGGTGTGTGTTTGGAGTAGTGAACTGAATTTTTTTTTCATTTGAACTGAATTTTCTCTGGGTTGAAACCAGAGAAATTCTCTGGTTTTTTAATTGAATTTTCTCTGGGAGCAACCAAGAATCAAATTTTCTCTGTACTCTGTTTTCTCTCTCTCTCTCTCTCTAATTTTATAAACACACTTGTGTGCTTGTTTTTATGGAATTTGATCTGGTATTGTCATAATCAATTCAGTGGGTATGGCAGTGAATGAGAGTGGGAGTGGAGGCAATGGTTCATGGTTGATAAATTCCGAAGTCAGAGAAATTTGGTGAAAACACATTTTCTCTGACAGTGTCCATGAAAGGCTAAGGAGGCCAGAGAAATTCAAAATTTCTCTGGACCAATTTTCTCTGATTTGAATTTTCTCTGACTTGAATTTTCTCTGGATCAATTTTCTCTGGATTGATGTTGAGGGACCTCAGACATCATGAAAATATTTGATGTCCTTTATACTATAAAATCATAATATCAGGGACCTTAAAAAAAATACCCCTTTTTTCTTTTCTTCAAAAGATAAAAAATAAATAAATAAAAAGAAAAGGGTAAATTATAAATACACCTTCTGATGTTTCCTTAAAATATGAATTGCCTTCTGTGATTTAAAAAATTGTAAATATCTTCATATCAGAATTTTTTATTTAATAAAATTAATTGAAAAAGTGAAATTTCTAACTGTTCACCTATACAATAATAAAATTATCTGAATTATTAATTGAAATAAAATTTTAACATTATTAAAAATTGTTAATTAACTTGATGATTTACC